TACAAATAAATACAGCATAAAAAAAGCCCAAGGACTTATCTACAAATTACAGAACCTCAAGAACAAAAGTAACATTCATGTTCACGGAAATGTAAGTGTATATTACATATTAATACAATCTTAAATCTTTTTAAAATTAATCACTAAAATATTTGTAAATCAAGCCTACCCCAAATACACGCAAAACAGAACAGTAGTAATTTCAATTTCTATTACCTGTAGCATTAAAAGTTCCAACAATTTTGCATACACCATAGACATAAATATTCTGCATCCATTTAAAAAACCCAACTTAGTGAATTTTTGCAAACCAGTGCACAGGTACAAAATCAAACAAGCCAGAAGCTCTGCCTCCACAGTTTCTTACAACTTTATTTGCTTGCTCATTATTGATTACCCTAAACCACCTGGGACCTCAGTTCAGTTTTCAAGATCTGTTGTTTCTTCTTCTCAGTTTTAATTTCCATGTTACTTAGACCTTTTGTTTACAGTCCATGCGATGCAAGGTTTAACAGAGTCTTTCCCCTAAACACTTAAAAGAACATTACAATAAACAATTTTAACAAAACTCAACAAATAGCTTGACAAATGGAGTATAGGTTAAATGGTAACTGAAGAGATGTTGCCTCCTCCTTACTTGAGATGGGAGGAATGCATAGTGACAATGGCAGACAACACGCCTTTGGCATCAGCTGTTCTCAATTAATTCAAACAATAAGTTTTGTTATTTTTGATAAAATAATCTGAGATAATGTTATACTTTGCATTATCATTAACTTAAAAGATCAAAGAACTTGGCATACCATAGCAGCTGTGCTATCTAAACAATTTTCTTTCTCAGGTACATCAGTTTGCTTTACTATTCACCACAGTTACATTTCATTCAAGGTTAGAAATGGAATCGTGGTCCCTCCAGTCTTCATTTGTACTCCTTGTTTGTTGGTGTTTAATAAACTCTTAATTATGCAGCTGTGCACTAAAATGTTTGCTGTGCTCATTTGTCTCTTTCTTATTTAACCATGCTATGTGGACAGTCACACACACCGGTTCACTTTGCTTCTCTCCTGATAGCCACTGATTCAGACTGCTGAACATCATGAACTTGCTGTGATCCCCAAATGTTGTCTTTCAAATAAAACACAGGCCCTAAAGTTTCCAGCATGTGTGACAGTTTCTCAGCCACCCCCCAGTGATCCAAATGCATGGCAAGCAAATCCTACGGCATCACAGATTTTAGTGAGATGAATGGAAAGCCTGCATTCCTGAAAGTGCTCACATCATTATTTTTCCTTTAAAGTTCATCAGATGTTTTAGAATCAAATTGCACACTGCAATCCAGAATGGTTTTCTTTCATTTACAAAGAAGCTGTATTTGTGCACATTTAACTTGACAGCGTTCAGTGTGGCTAGACCATAGAGCTTTTTCATGACCTTTCCAACATGCTGCTTAATTTTCTATTTAGTGCTCCATCTCCTGGCACAAAGATTTCTCATCCTTGTATTTCAAAGGAGAAATTCAAATAGGCCTTAAAGACAAAAACCAGAAGTACTACTTAAATTAAAATTTTTCTACCCTCTTGGGTTCATGATATTGAGAGCTGATGACACAGAGAATTGCACAGATGCTTTGCACAGATGTAGATGATTACTATAAAGAGAGTACACCTCTGAGGATGGGAGGATAAATTTCTTATAATCTGGCAAAGACCAGATCTTCAAGTGATACAGGTTTATACAGGAGCTCTGAAGAGGTTACCTGCTGGGAATTAGAGCAAGCTATTGATTTAGAAACACATAATGCAAACATGCCCTTGTAACTTGAGTAAAATAATTGTTTTTTAAAACAAAAACATTTGATCTGCAGTCTTGTAATCCAGATATTACATTGCCATGCACAAAGATTAAAGAGAAATCTGGTGAAACTCAAAAGATACAAAGAATGACTGACTCTAGAAAGTGATCCAAAATTCAGGTATCTGCTAAGGACTATTTCACTGCCTCACAAATACACAAAGCAAACAGAAAGCTCAAATATTAAACACAATGAAAAACGACCATAACTCAGTAGTGAAAGCCAAGTTATAAGACTCATCAGTCTCCCAAAATTTGGTTAAAAAGAAGAGATAAAAAGAAGTTAGAATTAACAAACTACTCGGATTTCAACTGCTTGAGGTACACCCGAGTTATACCAGCCTGGTGATAGATAGACTCTATCACCATGCCTTTTCTTTCAGTTGGAGGACTATTTTTGTAAATTATAAAACACAACATCAACTGCCTGTTAAATGGATGAATATAAATCCAAATTTAAAATTATTCTGGGCATAATTTTGACAGTTATGTTTCACAGCATTTTCTTGACTTGAATACCTTGAGGTCATTTATCCTTCATAATGACAGCGAAATCATGCAGCATCTTTCCAGCTACATTAAGGTCTTGATAATAAAATAGTTGTCAGAACCCTGCATACATTTACACATTACAACAGCCAATCACCTCCTTGACACACAACCATATTTTAGCCGTACCTTATGTTCAATTCCTAATAAGTAGGATACAGAGGTTCTTATTCAGAAGATTATTTAGCTGGGAACAGCCTCTGGAAGTAGAGGAATTATCAGAAGCACTGATAGGTGACAGGGACAAGGTTATTATAAGGGAGGCTGAGGCAGTGCATTAGCATTTATGGTACCACAGAGCCTGAAATTAAGCTTGGGGTGGACTCTGGAAATACCCTGCTCCAGTTCATCTCCAAAAAAAGGGCTGTATTTCTCTACCTTAAAGCACCAGCAGAACAGTCAGTCCAAGATCCGCAGGTCACAAAGGTTGCAACATCTGCCACTGGCAGCCTGGTCCTTCCAGCTAAGAGCTCTGCTGACAGCCAGAGAATCCCAGCAGTTCACCACATGGCCACAGTTCTGAGACAAGGACAAGGCCAAAGGGGCAATCACAGCAACAGCTCTCGGCAGCCACCTTCTCCTATGGAAATTGCAACAGAAACTTCACAGACTTTCCTCCCTGAGGCTCTTCCTTGGGATTTTGCTCACACTGGAAACTAGGGTAGAGCTGGCTGCAACCCCATTAACTTAATTAGAATCACAGAACTATCTCAAGTTGGAAGGGACCCATAAGGATCATCAAGTCCAACTCCCTACTACTTGCAGGACTACCTAACAGTAAGCTGTATGACTAAGGGCATCATCCAGGTTGCTCCTGAACTCTGACAGGCTTGGTGCCATGACCACTTCCCTGTGGAGCCTGTTCCAGGGACTGTCAGCTTTCTCACTGAAGAACCTTTTCTTAATGTGCAACCTGAACTTCCCCTGACACAGCTTCATTCCATTCCCTTGTGTCCTGTTGCTGGTCACCAGGGAGAGGAGATCAGCACCTCTCCCTCCGCTGCCCCGCCTTTAGAAGGTGTAGACTGTGATGGGGTTACCCTTAGTCTTCTCCAGGCTGAAGAAACCAAGCAACCTTAGCCATCCCTCCCAAGTCTTGCCTTGAAGACCTTCAACCATCTCAGTTATCCTCCTCTGGACACACTGTGATGTCCTTCTTGTATTGAGGTGCCCATGGTATCTTTTGTTTGCTATGGAACTACTTCTAAAGCACTTATGCCTTATGCCCTCTTCAACAATTACCAGCTAGCCACCCTCAGACTGCACTAATATCATAACTATTCCCAGAGAACCTAATAGAATCAGTAGATATTCACCTCACTCAAGCACCAATCTGAACCTGGTCAGGTGACAGCAAAGCTAGCTTTTACAGCACAGTAGGCCTAGATTTGAAATTCATATGTAGAGCAGCAGGCCAGATCAATAGAAACAAAACCTGAGTCAGAATAGAAGCAGTAAGCCTAACATTATTGCCTGAAAAGGGACAAACCCTTCTCCTGATAGGCCACCCAGGCTGCCAGACCAGGCATGGTATTCACACCAGTGCAGAACCTGACCCAGCAAATCAGAGGCACTGGGAATGGGGCTCCAGTGTGTCACCTTACAGTATGCATAGGGCAGTATTAGAATGAAAATGTTTTATTTTTTAAAAATGCATCTTGTGCATTTTTTCCTTACAATAATCCAAGTGAAGCTTTTAAAATACATACTTCTCTATGTTTCTACCCTACAAGGTATACTCAGCATTTTTTATATATTTGCATTCACAGCAAAAACTAGACACAGAAGACAAATGAGCATTCAGTGCCGTACGACAGCTCAAAGACAGGATCAAGATCTGCCCTTAGTGGCCATAATGAAACTGAGGGACAGCGATCCAGAAATTCGAATTGCACAGCTGCCTGAGCGGCGTCTCAGCAGTTAATGGCTGTGAGAAGAGGCATGTGCTGCACGTACAAAGAGATGCATCTTGCGGGTCTGCATTTGCAAGAGGGGATGTCTGCACACACACACACACAGCCACAGCCTCAGCGGCCCGGCACGCAGCGCATTTCCATAAGTACGTGCTCGGCAGGGACCACTGCCCGAGGCTGCGCGCATAAAGGGACGGGCAGAGACGCACCGCGGGTAAAAATAAACCGGGGGCACGCCCCTGGAGCGGTTCTGCTCCCTCCCCCCCCTCCCCCCGCCACCGCACCGGGCCCAGCCCGACCTGCCCTGCTGCGGGCACTGCTCACGGCACGTTTGGCTCTGGAAACTCTCCCTCGTACCGGACAACGCACCTGCCCCCCGCACGGGGAGGCAAGACAATGGCCAACCGGGCACAATGGTGCGTGACCGGAGGGAGGCTGAGGCACGCAGGCTGTCTGCCACACCTCTCCATCCCCACCATCATCCCCCCATCACCGGCTCCAGCTTGTCTCCATCATCCTCCCCTCCATCACATCCATCTCCACCTCACCTGCACCCTCCCTCTCCCCCACCGACCCCAAGCCCCCCCGTCACCGCCCGAGCCCCATCCCCGGTCCCCCGCAGCAGGCCGAAGTCATTGTTCCGCCGACCGCAGGGACCGCGCGACCCTCCCGGCTGCCGCCGCTCACCGTGCCGCGGCCAGGAGAGGATGCCGAGCGGCGAGGGACGAGCGCAGCGCATCCATCTTCCCGCCGCCGCAGAGGCTCCAGCGCCCAGCACCGGCTCCGCCGGCGTCCTGCGCGCCGACGCTGACGGCGGGCGCCCGCCCCGCCGCCTCCCCGCGGCTGAGGCCTGCGCTGCCGGGCCGGGGTCTGCGGCAGGCCCCGCCCCGCCGCCGCAGCGCCGCGCTCCCGGCCGCCATGGCAACGCCGCGGCGGATGGAGGCGGCGAGAGGAGCTGCAGGACCAGCGGGGCTCGCTGCGGCCGCAGTGCCCGTGCGGCAGAGGGGCCGTGTGAGGGCTCCGGGGGGTGCTAAAGGGGGCCGGGCGCGGCTCCGGAGCGCTCCCTGCCTCGAGCACCTGCGCAGGCCGCGGGGGAAGGCACTGCAGGCGGACACAGCGGCTCCCAGAGAACGGGCCGTCGGCAAGGCGGGGGGCGACCTGTGCCCCCTGGGACCGTGACCCTCAGTGCAAGGGCGTCCTGAGGATCAAGCTCTAGGCCGGACCGAGTGAATCGGAGCTGTTTATACCCCTCAGTGACCTGCAAGGGCAATCGCACTTCTGCCGGCGAGGTGTCAGGCGAGCAATAGCCACAGCATCCTGCTCTTCACGTTCCTCGTAAGCTCTCTCATCCCCATCCCCTAACGACTGCAGCGACATCTCTGGAAGAGGGCGGTAGGCTGACAATAAACACGTCAAGAATTGCAACCGTGACCCTTCTGGCACTTCACTGAGATAAGGATTGCTGTTAGAGCTCATAAGGTGTTCGGTTTTCTGCAAACTGGTAACAAACGCGGGTTTGGATCTTGTTTTTTTTCTAACCACAGCAACATGCAGGAAAACAAAAAGGGACGGAAGGGAGGGGACAACACCCCAACCCCAACATTTATAGAAACTAAAAGATAGTTTAGTATTGGAGTTGTACATTATCTCCATTCCATCCTGTATTTCCCTCATGAGTGACAAAATCAGAACAAAACTAGCATCAAAGGCTGAATTTTGAGTCATCCATCCTGACCACCAAATTCCACCAGAGCCCCCCCTCAGGATCTAGTGGTTGGCCCTCACGTTAAGTGCCAGTGTTTCAAACCTTTACCGTGAAGTCTCTCAGAAAAGGAGGAAACCTAGCACTGGAAGCAGAGGTCTCAGACTAACAAGTCTGGCACTGTATGCCTGACCAGGATGTCCCCTGCACAGTGGAGGCATTCAGTTTTTCTCAGGGTGATGCAAGACATACAGTTTGGTTGATTTTTTGTTGGGCAGGATCTGTAACATAGTACAAGGGATCCTCTACGGTGTTTTCATGACAAACACACCATGGGCGGTTAACACATTGAGCGACTGAAAAAAGCTTCAACGCCCAAGTAAAACAAAGTTCTGGTTTTTAACAACTGCTGTAATCTGTATACATCTAACCTAAATGTTTTATTTTTCATGTTCTGGTTACTGATTGCATAGCTCTGCACACCAGAAATGGAAGGTCTGAAATATACCGAAAAGGGAAAAAACAAGTCTGAAGAGCACTAAGACATATAACGTGGCACATGTGCTCTGGGACTGCAGGCACAGAGAGTTTACTTTCTCAAGAAAACTAGTTTAACTCTGCAGCCTGAGTGTACAGGGGAGAAACAGCTTTTTCCACAATGTATTTCTGTTGCAGGTACCTCAGCCCCACTGAAACAACATTTGGAGGATACAGAGTGAAGTGCTGAGCAAAGATAAACCAGAATATGGACAAATTCATGTTCATGGCACTGGAACAGGTCCACATCTACAATAAGAAAGACAGAAGTAGAAAAGGGATACTTGCTTACAACCAAGAATCCTTTACTAACCCTATGTAGGAAAAAGACTGGCTTTGGTTACTACAGTGCTCAAGCAGAAGAGAACAGAGGAACTGTCAACCTAACATTCAGAAGTTCTGACAGCTGAAAGATCTTGCCCCACCTCCTGCCTATACCAAGCTCACTCTCTGTTCTGTTCCTTTATTACAGGATGTCTCCTCACAAGGTAATAACTGCTGGCTGAGAAACAAGAACACTTTAGCAATGGTGGACTGACAGCAAATGGTAGCAAAAAATATTCATGGATCAGTGGCTAAATACACTAATAAACATCAGAGATGGCAATCCATCTAGGCCACAACTTCAGGACAGTAGAAGATTTGGCAAGCTCCTAAACTGCAAAGAAAGGAATGTAGAAAATCATGTAACACATCAAGATGTCAGTGAAACCCCTCATAAATAGCCCAGGAAACAGCAAGGGCCAGTTGTAGTTCTGGAAGCAGAACATCCTGCCTCTTACCAGGTAGAAATACTGAAAGAAAGACTATACCAATCTTGGAATAAGCAGTTGCACTAATAGCAATTAAAGCTTTGGAAAAGTATTCCAAAAATGTAACCAAAGGGGTCTTTTTGGTTTATTTTACAGGGTGATCTCCAAAGGATGATGGCTTCAAGAGAAGCAGTTGGACCTATTAGTAGCATTGTTGACTTCAGTGATGTCCTTTCAAGTACAAATACAGAAAGACTCTAGGAGAGATTAGCAATGAACTACGACTGAAGTAGGATAAACCCAGACAGAACCAGGACAGAAGGAAGGCAGTACTGGAGGACACATATCTGTCTAGAAATCAATTTGTTTCCAAAATTTAATCTCATGATGCACAATTTTAACTGCTAAATGTGACTGATGTAAAAAACAGCATCTCTTTTAAAGTGTTAAGTTCTCTGTAAGACTGGTTGTTCCTAGAAAGCATAAAGAGTTTGAGAGTTTTTCTTCAATGCCTCAAGTATTTAGAATTCTTTCATAGCATTCTAATGATTATTTATCCTAAATATAATGTAATGATTATTTATCCTACATAGAAAGCTTTTTTGTTTTAGCAGAAGAGAAAGACAAAACTAGCAGATTTATTTTGCTGCATGAATTTTTTAATTTACATTATAAGAACTTGCTGTTTGTGTGGCATAATTGATCATCATCACCATTACTGAGCTTTAAGGTCGCTGATGTTTGTAGCAAAATGTGATATTTATATATGATGGGATACTAAAAAGGTAATAGACTGGCTTGTAGTTTTAAGTATACTAACAGGCAATATAAAAAAAAATGAGGTCCCATTACATCCTCAGTTTCAGGACAGTAGGTAACCTCTACTTATGTGCAGTTTGCTCCTTGTTCTTAAAAAAATCACTCCCACCTTGTGTAATGGATGGCATCACCAGCAGGGACTGTCACACTTCCAGAGCTTCCATAGCAGAGATGCCCATCACACACATCTTTGAACTTGGCACCAAGTGCCATTTTCTAAGCTAGAGGTAAGGGACACAAAATGGTAACCTCACAGTCCTCATAACACAACTTTGACAACCCTACTGCATCTTTTACAGGTATTTAAATTACGTGTATCTGGAATAAGTATCCTCCACATCATGGGAAACCAAGTTTTACTCGTCCTACCTTTGAAACCTAGCAGGCAAAGCACATTATACCAGATTAGTGTCATTCCACAGTTCAGAGATGGTGAACACAGTTAATCCCTACTGGCAGCCTCCCACACTGACCTCTGTATTTAACATAGGACCTTTATAAGCACCACAGTTTGGACAATCTCCATTACAAAACATTCAACTGAGACATGGACTATTTCCCCCCATGGAAATCTTCAGACAATTATAAAACTCAGTGGGAGACTCCACTACTGGATAGCCTTGGGGGAACTGGAGCTTGTGTAGCACGAATACCTGCAGATTATCTGTAACTGCAGATTATTAATAGCATATCAATATATTCATAGGTGGCTATTCATAACCCAAAATGTATACAAGCCTCAGGTACTTTTTAGAAGACCTCCAGGTTGTATCAAGCTTACAAGTTGTAACTGAATAGCACCGAGATATTTGGCTGAAGTCCTCTGAAGTCACACATTAAACTGATATCCCAAACTGTTAAGAAGTCCCATTCCTCCCAGGCAGATGAAGCCCAAACATAACACTGTCCTCATCTGAACCAAGCATCAGGGAGCAAGACAATTCAAGTCAAAGCCAGCAGTGTTATTAATCTCTGGCCTTCACTGCCTCTACAAAATACAGGATCATGGTTGGTTATAAGGAAGGGTCTCACAAGCAAGAGCAAATTTACTTCATGATGTCAGAGGGGGATTGCAGGACCTGCAAGATACGTCATCAGATGCCAGGAGAATGAACACAGACCCCGCAGGAGGGGTGAAGACGGGTCAGGGAGGCATAAGCATGGGAAGGCAGAGAGTGAGGATGTTGATGGGAACGGGCAGACAGACAAGCTACCAGCTGCATGTTCACAGGCTGCTGCTCACTAACCCTTGTCTGGCTGAGACCACTTGCCATGCTTTTACTGATTAAGCATTACTGCTTGTTTTCTATGTCATTGTGCTCTAACTCTATTTGTGTACACATGCATGTTCCAATAGCAAGCACACAAGAGAAACCCCAAATCTATACATACCCTTGGTTCAGGATTGACTGCACAACACACCCAAGGTCTAGACATGGAAAAAGGGCATGGGTAGAGAATAGAGAGACTGAAAAATGTGAGCATGTACTTAAGTCACTGTAAGTATGTATGTATGTTCCACTAGCAGACTTTAAGCAAGTGGGAGCATGATCAGGCCATTTCTGTGGTTTCTGTTTTAAGCAAAGACATCTAAGAGCACTGTCCTCTTGTTTATGGTAATCTGTTAATTTATGGTCATGGCTGTAGTGCGCACTTCAAACTGTGTGAGCAGGGACAAGCAGCAGCACTGGAGGGGAGGAATCCCCTATAACACCCTGCTCACAAGATGCAACAGTACACATGAAAGCCCAAGGACAGTAACTTAACCATTAGTTTTTAATTGTGTTACCCCAGTGGCTGCTTTTCTACTGAAAGCCAAAGTAGGTCAGATCCACAGACAGAAAGACAAACAGCTGTCACCTACAGCTACTTGGAATTCCTCTGACATCTGTCAGTACTGACACATGGACATGGCACTATACCTAAGCGCCCATATCTACTGCTTCAGTGGAACATCTGTGTAGTTCAAGACAATTGAAAGTCGTTAAGTAGGCAGGCAACAGTTTCCTACAGCGATGGCAATGATACCACCAAGAGGTCATCCAGAGAAGTTCAGTAAAGACTATAGAGGTAACACAGCAGAACCAAACTTCAAATACATTTTAACTCAAGCAGACAAGCTTTTTCTGGTCCCTCAGTTAGGAGTGGTCCTGCATACTGGAACATTCTGCCATCTGACTGGAATGATGAGGTGAGAAGCACAGCAGTTCTCATGTCTCAGCACAGGCACTTTTCACATAGGCTGCACCTTTGCCTGGTGGGGCACATCCATCTTCAGCTGTGAGCTCTAGTAACTCCTCACCTTCATGGCAACAATGAACGTCCGAGTTTCACTAGAAAGAAATCTGTAACGTCTCATTCAACACACAGAAGTATCAGCATTGATCATGGTGTTACAGAAGACAGATTGAGTGGAGAAACACGACGTGTGGGAGTGTTGTTTGCTGACAGGGACGCAGGGAGGAAAAAAGGAGCAGCAATGTCTGTGGATGACATTTCTCCCTGGTTTCGGAGCTGTAAGATCTGCCGCAGCAGGGCCTTCCCTTCTTCTCTAGTCTGAAAAGGATTTGTAAAAACCAAAACAATACACCTATGGATGGGTAGTTTATGGGTCAAATTCAGTATGTAACCAGTATAAGTCTGTCATTCTGTATCGCTGAAAGCTATAAAAACCATCCTAATTTCTTCTGCTATTTAAAAATGTTAAGGAATTTAACTTTAAAGCCTTTCCTCGCTTTACCCACCTAATTTGCATGTCACTTGGGTATTTCAGACAGTGGCACCACCAACCACTGAAGCTGCCTAAATATTCCAGCAAAAAGTGGACTGGAGAAGCTTCAGTTCAGTTGAATTCAGATTCTCTAGAGTTCCAGACAGCTTTGCTAAGCACGGGGCCATGCACCCTGCACTCATGGCCGGTGTCTGTAAGTGCACACTTACAAACATCTCAGAATCAGTCACATACAAACACAAGCACTATTATAAATCTGCACTGTCTACACACAGAAAATGAGAAGAAAAAAAAAAGTTATGCAAGTACCATCAGTACACAGCATGTGGCATCTGTGAGCATTTAACCACCTCCTCAAACCAAGATTTTCAGTAGTCTTAAGACTGCCACATGCAGCCTCAAATTCTTTTACTTATTAAGCACCAATGAGACATGGTTCAATTTTACTATCTACACCATATTCCATGACTTTAGTCAATCATAAGCAGCATTAGTGATCAGGTACACAGCACTGCCATTTAAGGATGTGACCTGCACGGCAGGCATCCCTCATTCATTTAATAAAGGATCCCTTCTGCTCAGGGGGGGGAGGAGAAAAGATCAAGGTCATGGTTCCCCTAAGAAAGAAACACCAAAGATGGACAGAGCCTTGGGTGACATGGTCTAGTGTGAGGTGTTCCTGCCCATAGCAGGGGGCTGGAACTGGATGATCTTAAGGTCCTTTCCAACCCAAACCATTCTATGATTAAGATTAAGCAACTACTCACATCATTGAATGCACAGCACTTCTGAGCACAAGCAGAGGCTTCATCCCAGAGCTTACACTTGAAGTAGTACTGGGCCAGGTAACGGAAGGCAGTGCTGACCTCCAGGTGTTCCACTATCTCCTGCAGTGAGGGGAGTAAAACCCTTCATCTGTGAGTGCCCTCCAGGCTAGCTCTGCACCATGTTTACTTCTTTTATTCCAAGATAACATCTTACCCCACAGGAATAGATATCCTGGATGTATTTGATATAGCATTGAGCTGCTTGTTCAGATTCATTCAACTGTTCATGCAGCCTAGAAAAGGAAGAAAACAGGCTACTGGAACAAGACAGCACTTGCCCTGACTCAGTCTAAAGCCAGGTCTTTCCTTCAGAATCTGCATGGCATGCACCAGGTACTGCCCCTCATGGAAGCAGATGATCCAGCTTGAGAACATTTACATGAATAGGAAGCAGCCAGTCAAGTACTAACTACCAGAAGCAGTGACAACCAAAGCAGGGACCTTTGCTTAGTCTGTCACATTTCCTTCAGTGCTCCTTCTTCCCCCACTGTAACCCAGAAGTCTTTGTAGAGCAGCTTCACCCTCCACTTGCCCTTTTCCTTCCCCTTCATTTTTAACACTTTATATTACTTTATCTCCCCCAAAATATTAGTGGTGATGTCATAATGCTCATATTTATTTCATGTTAAACCTTTTCCCAGGGTCACAACCACATAATGTGGGGAGGGAGATAACAATAAAAATATAAATCAATCTACAGTTTTGCACATCATCTACTATCATAGATTGCTTTAAGTTTCAATACAACAAATACGATTGCCTGATCAAAACACTTCAGGATTCAGGGGTCCCTTCCAACCCACACTACAATTCCCTCTAGTTAACCCAAGAGAAACTGGAAGCTAAAGCTGGACACAGAATTAGCAGTCACTACAGACCTACAATAGCAGTTATTACAGAGCTACTAATACCACCTAACAGCAGCTCCTCGTTTTACATTTAGTATCATATCATTAGGTATCAAAGCACAAGTTGCATTTAACATAGTATTGACAGTTCAGTGACAAAACATACTCACTTTGCTAGTTTCACCAGTGCCATTTTCTCCACATCTCCTACAGCATAAGCTCTCCAATAGCACTGCCAAGGAAGGAAAGTCAGTCAAGCACACCACAAAAGTGACTCCATCTCATGACTCATGTAAGCAGGTTAGAAACAGAAAACTACATGGCTGTCCAGCAAAGGGGCACATGCCATCTGTAGAGGACCCTTTTTATTTATCAGCAGCTCTAGTTACACATTGCAGCAGAACTTCCCCCATTGTAAGCACCACAGGAACTGTTCCAATAAGCTCCTAGCAACATGCCCAGTCCATTTCCAGTGGCACCAACCACACAATTGTGCTGTAACTCCTCCTAGTGTCCTAGGAGACATCCTAACGTCCTCCTCCAAACATCAGTTCTCACTCACCTTTTTAGCTTCCACCAACTGATTGAGTTTCTCATAGCATTCTCCTAGAGCAACCAGCATACGAGAATCATTTGGTCTGTAAAAGAGTAATTCCTAAATGTAGCTTAATGGACAATCAGCTGATCTCAGGATGGGGTAGTGGGGGAAATCTACACATAGCAGTGCCTGTCATCCCCTCTCATATAAAACATCACTTACACTCCTGACCAGCATTCCTCAGCATTTAATTGACAAAGCCTTTGTTAACAGTTAACTAATGCAACTAAAAGGGTTTGGAATAGTGAGACTGCACAAGCCACATAGTATTGATGTTACTCCTCCTTCCCCAACTTGGTTCCTATATGCAAATTTCTTAGCTAGTAGCAACACGGCTCCATTTGGAACCTTACCTAAGCTGGTGGGCCCGTCGGTAGTAATAAAGACAGTAAAATGGCATTTTCAGGATTTCATAGGTTTGCCCCAAGCCATACCATGCTCTGTAGTCCCTTTTGTTCACCTCTATTGCATGTCTGTCAAAGGAGATGAATCAGTCAAAATAAAAACAAAGACACAGTTCAGCAAAAGACTAACAGAACACAAAGACACTACTTCAATCCTTATGTATGTAGATTCAGACACCATTTTGTGCAGTACAGAAGTGATACCTATAAGCCTGGATAGCTGCAGATGTGTTCTTCATTTCCATATACTCATGTCCCATAAGTGTCCATGCTCCCAGGTAACGAGGATTCAGTTTCAAGGCCCTCTGGAAATAGAGGGCTGCTTTTTCATGCTGGGAACGCAAACTGTAATAATTTCCTAAAGCAAAAGTAACAATATTTAAATACATTTTAAAAATAAAACCAACCAAAAAACCTCAAACACACAAACAAAAACCCAACAGAGAAGGAGAAAAGAGATGGAAGAGATATGATCTACCACCTCCCTATAAAGAGTTCCATTAAAGACAGATGTGACTAAAACCTCAAGAGACCCAATAGCAATCTGTTCTCCAGTGTTCTGCTCAATCCTCTTCTAGTTGTATCAATCAAGATCCCATCCCCTTGGCCTTAAAACTTATGTCACCATTTAACAAATAAATTTTCTGGTCCTGGCACACAATTATTTCCATGGAGTTTCAAGACTATAAAGTGATTATTAGCTACACTGGTCTTCATAATGATTTCTTCAGTTCCTTTCTGCACTGAGAGTACTACAGCAGCTCTTACAAAGCAGATCAAAGGAAAAGGGTGCTCTGTCATTTGATCCACATTCACAAAGTAGCTTTGACAGCCTTGCTGTTTAATCCATTTTCACAAGATTTCCTCATAGAGCTTGCACACAGCATTATCGAGACGTGAAAGAGCTGGCTCTCACCAATTACGCAGCAGGTCTCCACACGATACTTGTCTATCTCACAGAGATTGTGCGCCAGATAGCTCAACTCAGGCTTCATGCTCTAGTGAAACAAAGAAACAAGAGAGATGAGAAAGCAACATGTTACTGTTTCAAAGACAAGCTAGGCAATTAGCAATGTACACACTGTATCTGTCTATGGAGATGTGAAGCAGAAAGCATAAGTCAAAAGCTTATATTCAGAAGCTAGATAGCACCAGCTGCTTTGCCAGTGTTTAAAACATCTCTGAAAACACCATCATTATGGACAGACAATAGAAAGAGTGCTTACCCTTACATATAGCAAGTTGGAGAAAGTGTCCATGTTTTCTATCCTGTAAGGATCTTGTTTCCTTAGCTCGTTAAAGATGGATAAAGCTTTGTCAATATCTGAAGAACAGCAGATACAGAACAATAACTATAAATGCCAAGTTGGCATTAAGAGGCTTATTCCTCCTACTTAGTAAGTGCCACTGACCTCGGATATTGTGGTAGGCAACTGCAATCTGAGAGATTATGTAAGTGCTTTTGGAAAATCCTGCATCAATGAGACTCTGGTACTTCTGCAGAGCCTCCTCTATCAGCTGCAGCTCTGTATAAATGTGTGCAAGAAAGAACTCTTTCATCCATGTATCTGGCAACGACAGGAACTTCAACTAGCGAGAACCAAAGAAGAGGAGGAAGAGATGACAATCAGTAGTATTCCAAGAACCACCTGAGGCAAAGAATCCATTATCTTCCCTCCCATAATTTAGCAGATGGTCTTGAGGTAGGAGGCTTTCCTGCAACCGCTTTCTTAAACCATAACAGCAGCTACAAAAGATCAGTATTAGGACCAGGAATTAGTATCAGGTTCTTCCACAGGAAAGACAAAATAATGTCTAAGTTAACAGTATTGAAACAGAAAAGGAACATTAAGACATTCAGTCTAAAAACCAGTACAACATGGACCACAAAATTCTATTTAGTCACTCTGCATCTATCCACATGACTGCTGAAACTGCAAGAGAACTGAAGCTATTTCATTTGGTTAATAAGTGAACAAATTTTCCTCAAATATGCCAGCACCTGGCTTTTGATTCAGCCATTGGCCTTGTTTTTCCATTAAATTCAAAGTCCTTCAAAGGCTCTTCCCATGTTTGAACATCAATATCATATCACTATTTTTGATAATCTAAGTGAACAGACTCCAAAAACTCATCAAAAATGCATTTCCCTTTTACCATCAATCTCTTCTGTGCCACCTCTACTTTGTTAAATATTCCACCAGCCAGAACTGACTGAAGAATTCCAGGAGTGGTCTCAAAAAGTTCCATGTGCAAAGAAAAGTAACCTATTTTGGTTTTATATCAAAGTTCACTTCTTTCATACAAAGTAACACATAGGAGATGAACTGTATTTCGCAAAGGGAACACCCAGGTTACCATATTAGTTTTAAAAGCAGGGATTCTACACACCCTTCCAGGCCACTGAAGTGCTCAATAACTGTGGAACTAGAACCAGATTCAGGGAAGAAAAAAAAAAACACAACCAAACAACAAAACCAAAGTTATCTTAGAAAAGTATTTCAGGAGGATCTCCTCCACATGCTTCATGTGATAGGGCAATAAGCCTGCTGACAACTGCTTCAAAATATGTGAACTCGCCATTTCTTAAACCACTTTGTGGGTGAATGACACGAAATTGGCCCTGCCTCCATAAAGATTTTCAAATTACAGCATGACAAGCAATTGAAGAAAAAGAGGCTTTAACAACAGCATTTACAATCTTGGATTGCTTTGCCTGATAGCCTAACAGAATAAAGCAGTGGCTGATATTGATCTTGTTGCAACTGAATCATTGGTTACTAATGTTACTAAACTCTGGAATTTGTTACCACATCTTGATATCTCCCAAGTTTTACCATCTCTTTATCTGTAATCAAGTTGCAAAGTTCCAGCCAGGCTCCCCAGTGCAAAGGTAAGACATGGGTAGCTTCAACGAACACATCTATGGCTTCTTTCCCCAGGTCCAGCTTCCGCAGCACGACACCGTACCTGTAAATAAAGTTATCAAGTTAATAAGAATCACAGCACTGCATATTCACACAAACAGAATCCTAGATGGGCCTGGGTTGGAAGGAACCTTAAAGCTCATCCAGTTCCAACCCACTGCCATGGGCAGGGACACCTTCCACTAGAGCAGCCTGCTCCAAGCCCTGTCCAACCTGGCCTTGAACACTGGGCAGGGATGGGGCAGCCACAGCTTCTCTGGGCATCCTGTGTCAGTGCCTCACCACCTTCGCAGGGAAGAAAATTCTTCCCAGTATCTAATCTAAATCCACCCTCTTTCAGTTTAACTTAATTTAAATACATTACAAATACATGCACTTACAAATAAAGGCCAAATCCATCCAATTCCCGTGCCTTGTGTTTCTTACTAAGCTCAACTCGCAATTCTCGTAGAGCTTCATTTTTCACCTGTCCTTTTTCCAGAGGTCCTGCATGAAGAGAAAGTCAACTAGCTTTCAATCCAGAGTCCTACCACAGCAATCACAAAGTCCAGGCTATATTCAGAGTCAATGACATGACCCAAAGGTTTCCTCTTTTTAGAAGAAAATCACTTAGTCTGATCATCTGCTTTAACAGAAGAGCTAATAAATGAAAATCTGTAACCTGTATTAAGCCAATGAATTGAGAAAGAATGAAAGAATTCATGTTATACAATTTCAGTTTTATTATAAAAAAAACTGAGACGGGAAGGCCATAAAGACAAGGTGATTTACATGAAAAGGCATTACCTGAAACTTCAATATATTGTCTTGTGTTCCTTAACACCAGAGACTTACCCAAACTATCCACTGTCTCATCATCCTTCTTCTTTTCCCCTGACTGTGGAAAAGAGAGGAAACCCAAAATTACATCATAACAGTATATTCTTTATGCCCACTGCAATGCCAGCAGTAGCATGTAAACTTAAACTGAGCTTTCACAAACAACATGATCCTATCCCATTTCCCCCATGCATGTAACCGGGAATTCTGGGTGCTCATTCAGAAGAGAAAAGAAAAAAAAAAAAGATAAAATAAGGTATGCCAGGGAGGGGTGGGCAGCAGAGGAAACTGGTGTGAAAAGGCAATCTTCCCTTCTGTCTTACCAGGTATCTAGAATACATATACAAGAAGTAAGCTTTCTGACTCTTGCATCCCCGTAGAAAATAGGCAGCCCTGTCATATTCCTTTAGGTCAAAGTAAGACTTGGCTAATGTGTAGGCATCCAGATCACGAGCATCCTCCTGCAGGGACACAGAAGAGCTGTAAGACCTCAGAAGCTCTGACATGCTTTAGGACAATTGTCTGGTAACAACAGATCAATGAAACTGCTCTGAAAGCTAAAAATGTTTATTCATCCCCAAAGATGGTTTGAGGACAGCCTCTATTCCCTCACATGATCAGATTCCTAGATCAATTAGAAACATCTAAAATACACAGTGAAACTCCAGAAAACAAACTGTGGTAAGTTGCCAGAAGACACAAATTGACTATTCAGCAAGTATGAACAACCACCAGTAAGTAACCTAGGAATTAGGAATTCCATAGCAAATAGTATTAACTTAAGCACTCTGAAATGCACTCAGGACACGACAAAACAGGCCCACCTGTACACCTAAGAACACAGGGACAGAGATACAATTTTTATCTTCTGTATCTTAAAGTATCCTAAAGAGCATGAGTTAAAGGCACAAAATAATTTGTATTACAATAAATTTTGGCCTTGGTAAAAACAAATAAACCCCAAAACTAAGTAGCATAATTTCAAGATTTGCTTAGAGAGCACCATGTTATAAAAGGACAGCCACACATCACACGGAACCCTCCCACCCGGGAAAGCACGCTCAGCTCTGTCTGCCCCGCTCACTACCGAACAAAGCTCTGCACAGTCAGCACCCGAAGCCCCTTCCTTCCTGCGCGGTTTTAACTCAGTGCTGCAGGCAGGATCTCAACGGGCAGCACTACACCAACCGCCCCCCCCCCCACCCCGAGGCTCAAACCGCTCCCACAGCGGCGGCCCACCCAGCCCGCGAGTGCCGGTTCTTGGGGCGGCAGCGGCCAGCTCCGGCCGTACCTCTGTGAGCGCAGGCGGCGGCGGCAGTTCGCTCAACGGCAGAGGATCCAATGCAAAGGCGAGTTCGGAGGCCCTGCGAGGGGAAAAACCGTTAAAGGGCGGCCCGCGAGTCCGGGGCGCGCCCGCCCGCGCGGCTCTCACCACTTGCCGCTGTGCTGCAGCCCTCGCTCGCGGCTCCGCTCCGCCACGCACAGCAGCTGCTTCTTGATCTCCCGCAGGTCCGAGAAATCGCCTCCACACAGCCCCACTGCCGCCATTGCACCGGAGCGCTCCCAGCCAATCACAGCCCCCCGCACTAAGAACCCTTCAGCACTGTAGACGCAGCATTCTCTTTGGCTGAGCTCGAAAAGGCCCGTTGCCAATCAAACAGGCGCGCTGAATCCTAAAAGCCTGATTGGCTAATTGGTGCTCTGACTCTCCATCGCCGGTACAGCTGCGCGCCGGCACCGAGCCGGCACCCGGACAGAGCCAGGCTGAGGAGGGGAGCGGAACACGCGGGGAGGGGCTCGTTCCGCTCGTTGCTATCGGTGCAGCGCCTCAATAAGCTCCGGCAGGTCCGGCTTAGCTCGGTGCTGTCTGCCTCGCCAGTCAGTCTAGGCTGTTTACGCCTCGGCGCTATCGGGCGCTTTCTATTCGAATCTGTCCGACGCTGTCAGCCTCGGTTCTTTCCGACTCGGCTCTGTCCGCCTTCGGTCTTTTTTTTTTTTTCCTTTTACGTTAAAATAGAATTTCTTATCCAAATGCAATTGAAGGTTACCTGTCAGAAGAGGTTAGAGGTCTGCTCTTTTCTCTCCTGAAGTGTGTCGTTTCACGTGTCAGTTTAGAAAGGATAATATTGTACAAAAGAACAAAGAAAAGACCTCTTTTGACAACGTTTTGTATTTGTTGATTAAAAAAAATCATTCCTCCCACCCAGTAGTAATAAATCATCTTGATAAACGTTGGAACTGTGTATAATGTCCCAGTACAAATTCTTGTTCAAATGCAGATCAGGCACTGTATGTGTAGTTGGCCACGTGATTAGGAAAGGGAGGCAGGGGATTTCTTTCGCAATCGATGCCAGATCTGCTTTTGGACCGGCTGGGAGAAAGCGTTTATAAAACAAGAGGACCATGCTCTTTTTGCCTTCTGCTAGCCATAGGCCTGGAAATCTTAAGTGCCGACTTCACTCCTGTGTCCGCCTCGGCTGTTTCGGTGTGCTCTGTCCGGCGCTGCCCGCCTCGGCTCTTTGCGTCTCTGGCTCTGGCAGGCGCCCCTCGCTTCAGCTCGTCTCTTCCCTGCTCGGCTCTTTCCGCCTCGGCTCGGCGCTCTCCGCCTCTCTTCGGCTCCTGTGGGAGTTTGGCGCCCCGTCTGAGATGCGGTTCCGGGTCCCGGCCCCACTTCTTCCCGAGAAGTGGCCACTCCCGGTGTAGTTTCCAGGGCCCGAGGTGTTGGCGGGAAGTATGTCCCGTGGGAGCGGAGAGGGGGTTTCCAGTGAAACGAGTTGGGCTGGGTTAGGCGAAATGGAGGGGCTCTCAATGCTCCTTTCCTTTCTGGAGGTGCAGGGGGTACCTTGGTGCCGGCCTTCCCGCTCCTTTTTTCTGTACTTTACCTTCCTTCATTCTCAGAGTTTGCCCTAGCCTTTGACATGCCGAACGTTATTAACTGTGTGGGCTTTTTGCCTTTCACTGAGGTAAATCCTTGCCTTTCTTTAACAGGTGTCTATACGGAGGTGCTGGAGAGTGAGGACCAGCACTGTGGTGTGTTGACACTGCAGTAAGGAGGAACAAGGCCTGGAGAAGTCTGGAAGAGAGAGAGATCCTCTGAAGGGGTCTGAGCAAGGGTTTGTGCTGTAAGGACACTTTCGGGAGGGCCCTTCCCGTTCAGCACAGCTGAAAATCTCACCCATTTCTGACTTAGTGTTTGAATTTTCCCTTTTCTTTATATAATTCAAATTTATTTGGTTTGAGTCTTAGACTGGCGATGCCTGCTGTTGGATGAAAGCTGGGGAGGCAAGGCCAATAGCACTGCAGCATCATGATCATTCTAAGATTAAGAAACATGGGCCTTTCTTGTCTCTAGTTCTCAGCCGATAGCGGAAATACCATTAGTATGGTCATCCTCAGGATTCTAGTCTTCAGGGTCATCTGATTGTTTCTTAATGGAGTATTTCAATTTGCCTGGGTGTTGATAACACCTCCTAATTTAGTATCATTTGAAAGTTTCAATGACTACCTCCTGTGCTAAACATCATAATTTAAAAATACTAAGTAGAGTCAGTCCTAATACCAGTCACTCAAGCTTGTACTTTTAAACCAGTATCGTATTTTTAATTTTGTCATTTGTTTATTTTCTTGTGGCATTTTTCCCTGTGATGCTTTGGGTACTTAACTGGAATTACAGTAGAATGGGATTTAACTCTTGGGTTGGTTTTTTTGTTTGTTTGTTTGTTTTTGTTCTAATAGTACAGAAATTTAAGCACTTGTTTTGAGATCATTTTGCTCCACAACTTTTTCGGCTTTTCAGAAAAATAATAATACATCACTGTGCTCTTTCCAGTATCAGAATGTCAGCTTTAATTCTCTCTTTTAAAAGAGGAATTAGGAAAGAATACTGTTAAAACTCATTGTACATCATTTGCAGGTTCCATTTTTTCTCTTTTTCTGATGGTAAGAGAAGTATATTGTCTGTATCATGAAAGTGGCCTTCACAATCACTTCTTTTATTACAGAAGTGACTTGAATCAGAGGATCTAGTGTTTGAATCTGCTGCAAGTCTGTTGGCAATGAGTGTCACTGATTAGCACCATGTCTCCCTTTGTATCATAAAGAAAGGTTTTGGCTTAGTTTTGTTTTTGTGAGCCACTAATGTCACTACTTCCTCTTACACTGAATTCAGTTTAGATTCTAAGGTTACCACCAGCTTTCATTTTGTTGATTATTGTGACAGTTCCTAGGTTGTGACTGTGTTGTTCTGGAACCATGTGATCTGGAGCAGTCTGCTGAAATCAAGGTTGTCCTACAAAGGTTGACAGCAATAGGAACAATGGTTTATTGTTTAAGTGGGAAACAATGGGTTTATACGTTTTTTTGTCTTTCAGATAGACAAACCAAATTAGTCCATTGCTTGAAGTCTGATTTTAGTATTTCAAGGTTTTTTTTCTGTCTTAATTTTAGCCATATGTTACAAGTTTCGTTGAAGCTGTAATAGAAAATACTTCTCTTACTCTGCCAGCCCATACATCCAAATTAACAATAAAAAAATCTTTGTTATTCTTGTTACTACAAAGATGGACCTAGTTAATACATAAAATGCCTGACTCATTCCCCATTCCCTCTCCTTGCCCTGTCCCCAAATACAGATGAACAGACACTCAGGTTTTGGTTTTTGGTCTGAAGATAAATTTTTGTTGTCGTTACAGGCATGAGTATTTTTACACATACCTGGGTATAAGCTGTTAGAGTGGGCTGTTCTGTACTCCTAAATTTTGCATTTGGTATTTGTTTGATAATTACATTGTTTTAACTTAAGGATGTTCATATTTTACAATCATACAGTGACTGGTTTGTTTGTTTCGGGTTTTTTTTGTAAATTATTTTGGTGTGTAAGAGGCCTGTGAAGTCATTTTGTTAGTCTTTCCGTCTTCGTTTGGGCCCACTGACTACTGCATGCTATTTTCCTTCTGCAAGCTGTGACAATATGCTTCAGGAGCTCTGTGGGATTTCAAAAGGAAATATGGAGCCTTCTGCAAGAATGCACAAAGTGCTACTTAGTCAGACGCTTGCTGAAATCTAAGTAACATACCCTTTATGTCAGGTTCCTGATGTGTGCCACTGGGGCAGCTCTGCTCTAGCTATTCATATGATTGCTCTGCTAGAAGAGCAGGAGCTCAGACAGCTATGACATACTGAGCTTCTCAGTGAGAAAATATGTTCATTTTTTGGTGCCTAACCAGATGGATTTGAGTATGTGATAATCTATCACTGTAGGTCACCAGCTGCTGAAATTGGGTTTTGTGGCTCCAGCTATTCAGCAGAAGGTGGCGCTTTGGGCTCTGTCTTACAGGCACAAGAAAAGGACAAAAAGGCACTTAATGATAGCTAGAGTCCAGTAATTCAGTTGCTCTAGACTTGTTTCATGAGAACTTATCATTCTTCCTGTCATTCCGTTGTTTAAGAGATGCATATTTTAAGTGACACCCAGGACTGGCTTTTAGAGCAGGGGCCTAATTAAATTCACTGCAGGAAACCTGGTAACATCCTTGGGAAATCCAGATTAACTTGTCTGTCCTAACCGGTGCTGTTGCAAGAGTAGGAGGTTGTTCCCCATGTCACTGCAGAGCTACCAGGGTGAGACTGTCTCTAGTACCAGAACACAGAAACATGGTGACAAAAGCAGTGAAGGTCAGAGCGGGGGGAATTGTGTTCATTGTACAAATGGTTTGTGTAGACAGTTACTTTAAATGGATTTTTTTTGTTTTGTTTTGATTTTTTTCCCCAAAGTTAAAATTTTCAGCTGTACAGCTGATGCCCAGTGAAATCTGTGTAAATGGCCTCTACCAAGTCAAGTGTCTTGCCAATACAGGGAATTTCATGTGTTGACAGAGGAAATCCAGACTTCTGCATTCTCTGGATTCAACTTCTTTATCATGATACTATCAAACTGTGCTTTTAAACTTGCTTAAAAACCAGTTATGATTTTAAGCTATGTATATGTAAATGATGTTAAGCTATATATATGTAAAGCTGTGATTACAGGTTCTTATATAATTTTACACTAAGAAATTTTCTACTATTGGTTGTATTCTCTATTTAGCAGTTACTGCAACTCCTCTGTTTGCTTGTACCTTCTGCCAGCACGTCATTAAGATTAGAGCTTGGAAACATTTAAAATGTTTTGTTTTATATTTTTTAGCAGATTAGGTGCTACTGTGATAGTGATAAAATGAATTTTAATTAACTTTTCAGCATAGGTGTGATGACTTCTCAAATTTCACTTTAACTTAATGATTTGTAAGCCTTGCTCAAGTGAAGAATGTCTGAGGACCTTGTGAATATCCAAGTAAACATCAAGGCCAGATTATGGGCTTTTATTACCTGTGCTAATTCAATTGAAATCCATGGCTTGTTAACTGAGCTGTACTGATTCTGATGGAAGATTAAATAGTGCCCATGTAGATTTCTATTGTGTTGATAAATTGCTACAAAAGGGATTTCTGCTGTCAGTGGATCAAATACAAAGACAAAATTTATTTCCTTCATGTAACAGTGATCATACTAGACATCCTGTCACATATTAGACATCCTCGCCCAGCCGCGCGCGGCACCGCCTCCAGAGGGAGCCCCCGCGCTGAGTGGAGCAAGCTTCTGACCGGCGTTAGGGAGGACCAATCAGAGAGTGCCGCCGGGAAGCCTGCTAGCCAATGGAGGGGAGGGGATGCGGCCTTTGGGCGGAAGTGGGCTTTCGGTGGTCGCGCTGAGGGTTGCCGGGAGGGCAGGTTGTCCGCGGGCTGCGTCGGCCGCCGGTACGTGGTCCGTCGCCGGTGAGGTTTTGCTGTAGCGCGACTTAGGCTCTTCTGTCTTCATCTGTGACCGGGAGAAACCTGCGGCAGGGCTTGGGCCTTCCCGGAGCCCGGCCTGGCCTAGTTTAGTCTGGCTCGTCTCGGCTGGGAGAACGGGAGGTTGGCGGCGACGGTGTCCCCGAGGCGCCGCTTCCCCTGAGGGGGATGCGTGCCCGCCGCTGACCTGCGCGGCTCCTTCTGTCGCGGGGCGTGGTGTTATCGTACCAAGCCTGGGGAAGGGGTCTTTCCGGGTTGCTCTGTTTGCAGGGTGGTCTGTCGTGGTTCAGGAAATGAATGCTTTATGTGCTTCTGGTGGAGTTAGTCCTGCTGAAAGTATACCTTAGTGAAAAGCTAGTGTGGATTTATTTAGTTTCTTGTATGCTGTGCATTGAAATGGCTTTCTTCTGGCTCATTTTCTCCCTTATATTGGTTTTATTTCTATTTGTATAATAACGTGGTCACACAAGTTGTTTAATGTGTATTTCTCGGGACATTTCCCTAGGTATTTTCATCTGTCAAAAATGGGTGAACCTCAGCAAGTGAGTGCTCTTCCTCCGCCTCCAATGCAGTACATAAAAGAATACACTGATGAAAACATCCGTAAAGGCCTGGCTCCAAAGCCACCTCCACCAGTGAAAGACAGTTATATGATGTTTGGTAATCAGTTTCAGTGTGATGATCTGATCATTCGACCCTTGGAGAGCCAGGGTATTGAACGGTTGCATCCAATGCAGTTTGACCACAAGAAGGAATTAAGAAAACTTAATATGTCCATCCTGGTCAATTTTTTGGACCTCTTGGATATCTTGATAAGGAGTCCAGGGAGTATAAAGCGAGAGGAGAAACTGGAAGACTTGAAACTGCTTTTTGTTCATGTCCATCATCTTATAAATGAGTATCGCCCGCACCAAGCTAGGGAGACACTGAGAGTCATGATGGAGGTGCAGAAACGGCAGCGTTTGGAAACAGCAGAGCGGTTTCAGAAGCACTTGGAACGAGTTGTAGAGATGATTCAGAACTGCCTGGCTTCCTTGCCTGATGATCTGCCTCATTCAGAGGGAGGACTGAGAGTGAAAGTGGAACCAATGGATCCTGGTGATGGCAACAACTGTATGGGACAGAGCGAAAAGCAGAGAGAGCGTTCTGGTAGCAAGAGAGATCAGGTTTTAGACAAAGACGCAGCTATGTGTAGCATTATTGATGAAATGACATGAAAACCCCCACTTTTCTTAGCTCATTGTAGTGAGAGGCACAATGGATTCTGAAGATACGCATTGTTTTGCTGCTGTACAAGCAGACAGGGCATTGTACACCTGCTAGAGGTCACGAGGGACTAGGCAGCTGAAGATGTTTTGTGAACTGTGTGGTTATTGGTAGAACCAAAATGTATGCTTTTTGTTAAATACATCATGTGAGGCGGTAGCCTCAGATTAAAGTTAGCTTCTGTTGTACTTTCAGTTGTCACTTTCTGCTTTTTTGGGGTATGTTTTGTTTGTGTGTGTTTGTTTTTTTTTTTGTCAATTGCTTTATAGTGTGGAAGCAAATAAGGGGTCTGACCTAGAGGAATTGCAGTTGACAGTTCCTCTGTTCCAAATAAGTGTATTTGTTTATAGTATCGGTGGATCTTTTCAGGAATGTGTACTTCAATATTAAAATCAGTGTAAAGTCTGCAAAATCTGTTCCTTTCTGGTTTGGTCATAATATAACTGTACTAAAGAGGACCTAAGAATTTCTTTATTACTGCCCTAGTTTCAGCTGGGAGAAAGTTAATTTTCTTCCTAGTAGCTTGTGCAGTGCTGTGTTCTGGCTTTAGTCTGAGAACAATGCTGATAACACACCTATGGTTTAGTCATTGTCAAGTCCTTCTTACCTTGATCATGGATTCTCTGCCAGTGGGGATGCACACAGGAAGCCAGGAGGGAGCACAGCCAAGACACCTGAGAGCTGAGGGATATTCTATACCGTAGAATGTCATGCCTAGTATAGAAACTGGGGGAACTTGGCTGGGAGCCACCGATCGCTGCTGAGGGACAGGCTGGGCACTGGTCAGTGGGTGCTGAGAAACTGTATTGTACATTACTGTTGTTTGCTTTGTTGTGAAGTTTGTCTTATAGCTCTCTTTGGTGTTTCCCTTGTAATCATTATTAGTAGTATTATACCTTATTTTAATTATTAAATGCTCTTATCTCAACCCATAGGTTTTTATTTTTATTTTTTGTTTTATTTTCCTCTGCATTCCACTCAAAGGGGTCAGGGTGAAGGGAAGTGAACCAGATGTGACTTATTTTCCAGCTGGAATTAAACCATGATGATCACAGATGATATAATTTGCCTTATAGAGACACACTTGTCAGGAATCTGAACAACTAAATGAATTAAAATTAATTGGGTTTTAATTTTCTTAGGTGTAATTCATAACCAGTCTTGAGTTTACAAAAATGTCTACCTTGGTTTTTACACATAGATGCATATACTGACATTTCCTCCACAGTTAAGATACCTGCATGAAGTGAATCATTTTGCAGTACAGGTGCTTTGTATTTGCTTTTCAGGTGAGTCCTATGCCCAGCTAAGTGTTTTTCTCAGGAAGAAGAGTCTGGCTAGATAATTAAGCTTTACAGTCATTGAGAACTTATGAGTCTGAAAGAGCCTGCAAGTACTCTATCAAGTGGAATCCATATCAACTGTATTTAAAAAACATTTGAGTTTAATCAAGAGGAAAAGAATGACTTGACAGTGAAGAAGTGGCTTCTTTACCCTGCCCCTCCTGTCAGGAAAATCTTACCTCCATCTTTTTGTCATGTTAACACCATAGTATAGGATCATACAATCATTTTCATATGGTAATTTTTGTTGTTTTCAGAAATGTTACTTAAATGGGCAGGCAAAAGGTAGTAGGGATTGAGCTCGGTGCAGATGAACTAAAGTATGTTTATGACTCCTTGGAGGACATCTTCTGCTATTTTAAGTGCAAGCAACAGAAAGTAGAAAGGTTATTTTAGAAATGTATAAATAATTCTACAAAGTTAACACTTTTGTCCTTTACTCAGCCACTACTGTTTCCTTCCTTCCTTCTCTCTGAACTAGATATAATTTGTATTGCTTGTAGGTAACTAAAACAAGTGCAAGGGAGCAAAACTGATTTCATATCTACTTCATATCTGCTATGTTTTTTCATGTGCAAGATCCAAAGAAACATTTAGTGCCTCCAGGATAAGTTTGTCATGACCCTTTTAACTTCCCCATTCAAAAAGAACTGTCATAGATGATCAATGATTTTCTGTTGATATTTGTCTAATTTTTATGCTTTTAATAAATTTGTAGGCCTGGGTACCAAAATACTACTCAAGCTGGGTCCTGTCAGCAGCTAAGCATTGCAGTAAGCTTTGTGAAACCATTGAGGTAATTGGGGATTGTGTCATTTAAAGAATACTCAAAGCTGCTTTCATTGTCAAAAAGGTTTCATGGGTAATTTCTTTATTCTAGATTATCCTTTTTCTATGTTTAAGGAAAACATTGGAAAGCTGTGGGAGGCTTCCAGGGCTTTTTTCAGCCAAAACGTGGACTTTTTCTTCCATTGTCAGCTATCAAAGCAATGATAGTTGTCCCTTTTTCTATTACAAGTTTGCTTTTGGAAAACAATGGTTGGGAGCTGCAGTGGAGTCAGTCTCAGGAAATGGCATTTCAAATGCTGCAGGACGATGTGACTCTCTGAGTAGCAAATTTGTTTATAACTCTTCTCCAGTGTGTTAATTAACTTGCTCCTGATGATCTTTCCTTACCTCAGCAAATCCTGATTCTATTTTTGGATGGGATATCTGAAGTGTTCTGCTTCAGAAATGTTAACGTATGCAATATGTGTTGGATTATATATGCCTTATGAAACTTGATGAGATAAAGTTGATGTCAGCACTTTGCAGGCTCTTAATTAAAAAAAAAAAAAAAAGGAAGGAAAAGACAAAGCCCATCCCTGCTCTTACACTATCTGAACAAGCACAGAGCTAACAAGTAGTACAGTTACTTGAAAAGTTCCACAAGTTTCTTGATACAGAGAAGCCAAATATGTCACCAGTGGGTAAAAGTGGAAAGTTGGTAGCTCTATTCATCTAGGGAGGAAAGAAGAATAAGTTATTTAATGATATGGCTTTAAAATAGTGCAGAGATGTTTTCAGTAATGCTTTAAGCTTATTCCAATGTTTAATATTTTGCTTTGGTGTTATTTTCACAAAGTATGGTCTGACTCTGTGCTCTGATTCAAGAAAAAATGAGCCTCTGCTTAAAAGGGCTGCATGAAAAAGCTGATGTTGGCACATTTTCTACAGAAATAGTGCTCACTTCCTGCACAAACTGAAAACAAGAACTTGGAAAACAGGCAAGTAGAAACTCAGAAATTATATCAAGGCTTTCCATATGGACTGTGAGGTGAAATCTAAAGCAACTGCGTTAAGTGGTGCCCTGTAGCTATCACATTCTCTTATTATGTGACCAGAATGGCTTTCCTGGGGATACAGACAGCACCCAAACTACTGTAGACTATTGTATGAACAAAACAACCTGGGTGAAGTGAATAAAACGGGCTCAGGCAGAGTTTTGGGATAACTTTCCTTGTTTTCCTACCCTATTATTTCAGAGCTCAGATGTGGCCCATATGGAAGAAGAATACATGTGGATCTGTGCACACTGCATGTTATTGCAGATAACTGGCAGAATGGATGTGTCCTGGTCTGCAGGTGTCACACACTGAACCACCAGGAGTTCATCAGCCAGTGCCATGCACTATCATGGTTGTTAGTGATCAGAATTGTTCGTTTGTCTAGCACTTATTTGCAGTTTCTGTTTCCCCAAACACAAGGAGCAGAGGAAGCATTTTCTTAAGAGTCCTGCTTCCAGACACCGCATGCAAAAATCCCCCTTTATCCTTCCTTTCAGTTCTCTCCTACAAGTATGTTGCTGATGTCTGTCTCCCAGCTACTTCTATCCCTTGTTTTTCTTCCTTTTCACTTAAAGAAGCTATCGCTTTGGTGACCGTTCTCGTGTAAGGTAGATGAACAACACAGCTTTGTTGGTTCTGATTCTAGCTTCATGTATGGTTTGGGGTATGTTTTTGTAAGCATCTCTGCTGTTGCAGTTGTTGCTAACAAGTTACTGCTTAGGACTTAATTCTGTATGTGTAAAATAGCGTGAGGTAGGTTAGTTGCTTCAGCAAAGAACACTTGTTGGCCCTAGATCAAACACACTTGATCACAGCTGCATTTCTAATCCAAGCAACATGGAAAAACATGATGTCCTCAAGAACAGTTAGGTAATCCAGGGACAAAGAGAATGGCCAAGGAGCACCACTTCTCAAAAGCTGTATTTCAGCAACATTTTGTCAGCGAGTCTTGAGCCTAGGATGATACGGTTTCCACGCTGCATTTGAAGTGTCCTGTGTATTCTGCATGTTTTACTTTATATTGCAAAAGCTCAGATGCATACAGAATTTTTAAGAGTCAAATGAAAAAAGACTGTAACTGTTGGGCTACACCTGCGCAAGAGTAGGACAGCTTTTCAGTAACACCAAATTCTAGCCTACAAAGAAAACAGCATTTGCCTAAAGATGCTCTGAGTTGCATCTGTTAGAACCAGAAACTTATGATTAAGTACTTCAGTAGTTTGTCCTAGGAAACTTGTTTTTGCCAAATCTTTTCCATTTACCACAGCCTCGCATAGCCTGGGTAATTTCTTACCCAAATTGTCTGCTATGGCAAACATGGGCAGGGGGGGCAGTATGGGGCAATAGGTTACTGAGTGCTGTCAGCTCAGTGATGCTGACAACAGTTTCATCTACTGTAATCCGACAGATCTGGAAAAAATGAGAAGTAGATTTCTGAAGTGCTGTAAAGTATCTTAACCTTTTAGTCAAACCACAGTCAGCAACAGTACAGTTGTGGACACGGCCACCAGCAGCAGTCCTTGCTTGTGCTGCTAGAGACTACCAGACTAACCACGGGAAAGGCAATCCGGATTAGACTAAAAGGGCATTCGTGGCTGAAAATGGCACAGTAAGGAGTAAAACCAGAAGTCTGTGAAGAAGATAACTTTTCTTGAATGTCCAAAGGGTCATCAGGAGTGTTGTTCCTCATCTTCAGCCACAATGTCATCTTGTTTCTGCATGAGCTGGGTTCTTCTTATCCTGTTGACAGGTAACTGAGTCTAAGTGAATAGGTGGAGCTGGATGGGGTTAACATGCATCAATGTTTCTGAGGGCTGCAATGTTGTGTTACAACGGAAGGGTGACCACGTGGCACAGAAGCTGCATGTTTGTGTTATGAATAGAACTTTGTCACTGTGCCTCAGTATCTTCTTACAGTCTTATTTCCTTTTTAAAACAAAATGATGTTTAGGGTATGTATGATGGTTTTAAAGATGTTCCTGTTAGTCTTATTGTTGAATTATCTTTTGTTTCTTTTTTGGGAATTACAATCTGAGATGAGCAGAGAACTTTAAATCATTTGAGAAAACATGTAAAATGGATATTTCACTTCAACTGGCCTTGTAAAGGGGACTGCTTAGGAAAACAGAGTGAAGGTCAACTGTGGCTTCTGGTGGTTTTTAGCTAATATGAAATTTTATTGGAACAAACAGATAATTTTTCCTTTTTTATTCTGATAATAATTCCTTTTTAGTTCTCTTTTTTGTTCTAGGAAAATATTGTTAAAGGCAATAGGACTAAAAAAACAGGTTGCAGGGTGGTGATAGTATAGGCAGACATTAAAAATTTGGTGGTACGATAAGTTCAGCAGACAGAAAAGTTGTATCACAAATACTGTTCCTTGTAGTCCTTTATAAAGCCTTTTATGATGAAACTCATTTCAAGTTTGCTGTTTTATATTAAACAAAATATGTTAGTTTCAGAGATTAGTTTCTAGTATGCTATTGTGGCAGAATCTCTGCGTGCAGAGTTGTTTTTAACCATAATAGCTTAGGAAAACGACTGAGCTGGGCGAAACAGCTTTTTCACAAGGGACAATTGCAACGAAGCCCATGTAGAGCATGTGATCCACTGGTGCATGTTGGCAAGTGTGCCCTGGGGAGCTCCCCTCCTAATTACAGACTGCTAGACTTAATAGAGATAATTTGTTTCCTGTAGTTGCTGCAGAGAATTCTACCCCTGAAACGTTAATACAGATAGATTTAAATACTTACACATGATCCCATGTTACTGAATTGGGTTAGAAATACGTGGTAGTAAGAATATGGCAAACAGTTTTCTTGGATGTACAAGTAGACAAAATGTACAACTCAGGAGCCCTGCTGCATAACCTGTTAGAAGAAGGTGGCTACAGGCTGGCTATAAATAACTGGATCACCAGAACACAAATGATTTTGTGTGGCACTTAACAGAGCTTTTATCAAAACCCTCCTGAAGGGAATATTGACTGGATTGGTCTAAATACAGCAAAATAAACTATCTCACAGTGATGAATGGGCTGCTGGCTGCTAGGTCTCACTGTTCTAACTTGAATTGAGCGACACAACCTTCTGGAAACGCGAAAAATGACCTTTAATGGGAAACAAACAAGTTAGAAACTGCATAAGAATGAGGGAAGAAAATAAGGTAGTAAAAGAAGAGGATATAAAATCTCTCAGTAAAGCTCTGAAAAATATCTCCTGATAGGAATGGTCTAAATCTGGCATTAGGCAAGAACAAAGGGAATGTATTCAGTAGTGATCATTCTGATGAAACCTGCCTTTCAGTGGCTTTTCATGGAAAGGGAGGAAGGGTTTCCCCACAATGATTTTAATCACGGTCAATGTCCCGCTGTTCCTCCATGTGTGGCTTGGATTAAATCTAATCTAAGGCGGAAACTAACAAGATAACAGACTGGACGTTGCTGAAGAGATGCCACAGAGATGTGCAGATCCAAAACTCTTATTTTCTCTTTACCTCTCTGCTTACCTGCAGGGGCTACAGAAAGTGTATTTCTTCTTTCTCTGGCTAGAGATGCATTCTGAACAAATCACTTGCCCAACCATTATCCCTTACTGCTGGGATTCACATCTATTCATGGAAAACCTAACACAGCAGTGCCTGGTGGTGTTTGCAAGATGGGAGGTACCAAGTCATGCAAGATGTGTGAGAAGCTTCCACTTGCATGCCCTGTGCTCAACAACTGTTTGCCTTTCTGTCCACAGGCCCCACAGTATCAGAATCAGTTGTGAAAGGAGAGGCTGGTCAGAATGTCACTGTGCCCTGCTTTTACAGTGTTAAGAGTACATACGACATAACATCAATGTGCTGGGGTCGTGGCAGCTGCCCCTCTTCAAAGTGTTATCAGCCCATTATCTGGACAGACGGATGGAAGGTGACAGTACAGGATGACAGCAGGTATACGTTGAAAGGGAACCTGCTTGTGGGCGATGTGTCCCTCACAATCATGAACGCCAAGGAAGCAGACAGCGGGACATACTGCTGCCGCGTGGAGATCCCAGGGTGGTTCAATGATCAGACAAGTAACCATGAGGTTGTGATAGAGAAAGGTGAGTGCAGAGGTATGTTCTTGTGCGAGTACCATTGTGGTAAATCTGCTGTTGGGTCTCGATTTCAAAGCTTGTTTTGGAAATGATTTATATAATCATCTATAAGACTGATCTTTAGGACTTTGCAGAACTGCTGCTACTGCTGTTTAAATGGAGCAGTCTTTGGCATTGTTGTAATCCCAGCACAGCCACTGCAATTAAAAAAGGACATGGTGCTTTGTTTAATGGCGCACAACACTACTGAGCTTTCTTAGAAACACTATTTGAAGAATTCAAGAGAAAGGGCACCGCAGTCTCATTAATTCATCCAGAGCATTATAGTTTTCATAGAGAAGGGTGGTTCATTTTCCCTCCTTAATTCTAGAGTAAAGCACAGAGACAAAACATTAGTATAGACTTGTTGGTTTTAATAGAATCTTCCTTTGATTTTTAGTTTTTTGTCCTGTTTGTAAAAAGCATGATAATGTACAGAATAAGTGACTGGCGGATATACTTTGTAGCCGGTGCTAGTAAATTTATTATAGAAACACTTTATTCTTTTCACTACATGAAATCACACTAAGGTTTATTGTAACGTATGTTGGTTTTGTTTTATTTTTTAATATCAGCTAGGATCTCTACTGCAAGTCCTCACACTTACACCTCTGAACAGACTTCAGGTAACTTTTATCCAAGTATTAATCTCAATAGCATATATGAACTATATTGCAAATGGGGATCTTAGGAAACAAAGTGACAGATGATAGAAAATTTGGCTAAAATTTACTAAACATGACCATAGAACCAGAGATTGGAACTTGAATTTAAATTCTGACTTTCTATAGAGAGTCCAACAGGAGGAATGTGTATACATGGGAGGAAGCTTGATTCCAGGTGTTATGCTTATGTAGATGTTTTATTGGTACTGTGAGCATTGTTTTCCTTGTGGCTGTTGTTTTGGTGTGTTGTTTTATTTGTGCTAAAATGTTTTCTGGAAATGCATCCTATGAACAGGAAACCACAAATTTTTAGGAGTTTGGTGTTTCCACCACTTAGTTTATTTGTTGCTTTATAACATAGAACTGTTTTACTGGGCTAGCTCAAAGTACATCTAATTCAGGACCCTGTGGCAGTCCACAGCAGCTGATTAAGGAGGACTGTAGAAACAGGGCAGTAATCTTGTGCTACAGCACCAAAGAGTATTCTTCTGCCCTGCTATAACGTGTGTCTTAGGGGGCTGCCCACGTCCTCTGTAGCCTATGCATATTTAATAATGTGAGGCCCCTCATTGTACCAGAAGAGACAGTGAACAACTCAGTTTCTCCAGTCCACTCACAAGTTTATAGATTTGTATCGTATACCTACTCAGCTGCATCTTTTTCAGTCTGAAAGACACAACTTTCATTTCTAGTGCACAAGAGAGCTCATGGTGTAGATAACTTAATCTCTGGATTTTGAACACAAAATCAGGGAGGCTTTTTGTATTTCTTCCCATGTCTCGAATGTTTCCACCTACACAACTCTAAAATGTTACTACAGTTGTGTTTCCTTCTTGGAAGAAGAAGTGAAAACTTTCTCAGCTGTTTCTGTTCTAGTTGCAGATAGCATGGCTTCCAATCTTAGAACTCACAGGTTTTCTTAACCTTGTGACATCTTCCTCAGTCTTCTGGTGGAACAATTTATGTTTTTAAAACACAAATTAATATGTGCATGTTCACAGAGAGGGAGGCTGGAAAAGGCAGGTGGCCATATGTAGGAATAGTCCAGAATCTCCAATAGAAGAGACCAGTGAAACAGATGATCCTGTCCTCTTCAAAATAAAGCTTCTGGGGTGAGAGTAACAATTTAAAACATTAAATGAACGTTTAACAATTTAAATGTTAAATGAAGCTGGGGTTGTCATAATGTGAACAGGAAATTCTGTTTCCAGGAGGGTTGTATATCATCATGGAGAAACTGAGACTGATGGTACAGAAGACACGAGTTTATAGCTCTGAATTTTAAATACTGCAAAGAGCTTTGCCCTGGGGAATTACCTCAAAATATGCTGCAAGTCCTTATGCAAACACATCACACACTGCTCAGTCTGTTTACTGTATAGCTGCCTGGGACTTTGAAAAGATCACTTGCTTTCTCTAACTCTGCACCACATTTTCAAGGCCCTGAGGTAACCTTAGTCATTTTTCATCAGAAAACCCATGTTTGCTTTAGGTGTCCAACGCCTCTTCATAGCTCCAGAAACAGAAGCCTACCTTGGATACTCCTTCCAAACACTGTGTTAAGGTAATAGCAAGACCTAAGTGTTACTGGAAGGAATTCAAAGATCTGAAAAGGGCAGCAGAGGCTCAGTATTCAGTGTTTTGTGCTGCCCTCTGAAAACATCAAACTCTTTGTGATACACAGGGCTGAGACTCCTGCTAAAGAGATACTTAAGTTCAGTGGTCCCAGGTCAGCAGTACAAATTCCTTCCTGTCAAAGCAGAATGATTCCCTGTGCAAGTGATGTTTGTCTTGCCTTTTCTCAGCTCCTGGGAGTGCCAGTGAATCCTCCTTTACCATCACAAGAAGGCCATCGGTTTCTGCTTCAGAAGCTCCTGAGACCGTAAGCATCTTTGTTGTGCTATAGGCAAAATGGATAGTCAGGAGGTTATTGGGTCATCCCTACAGTTCACTTGCACTTCTTTAGCTGGACTGCAAAGAATGCTGTTTTTTTTTTTTTTTTGTAGTCTGCACGTTTAGTGCTTATGAAAGAATGCTTATGTGCTCATTATTAGGGAGAAAAAAATACAAGACCTGCTTTGCATGCATAAAGTACTTCCTACTAATGGAGGAAGAGCTTTGAAAACATCTATATTGTCTTTCAGGCCTCTGGTCCCTGCTCAAACACCTTGGACTGCTTGGACGTAACTGCAAACCTGCAGGTACAGGAGGATATGGGGGAGTGAAAGTTGCATCACCTAACAGCAGAGGGATGCTCTATAATACCGTAAAGTGGGGCTCAGACTGGGACTTTTACTACAGACCTGCCGAATACATAAATGGCCTTTGAGTACTGTATGGGCTTCTTGCTCTCAGTGCCATTAATGCTCATCTGTTTTGTGTTTTACAGAACGTGTCTGTATCGCTTCCCAGTCAGCAGCATTCACGAAATGAACTATACATTGGGATCGGTTTATCTGTGGTCCTTCTAGCCATCCTGATTTTGGCTCTGTTCCTCACTAGACGTAAGTAGTTTCCACAGGTGGTTATTCAAGGATTGATTGCATATGCTAAATCACAGCTGTCTTCTGCTTCAGGGAGGTGTGAGCTAAGATCTTTAGATGGCCCCACTCTATGCCCTGCACTGTGATTGCTTGCTCAGTTCTTCCCCTTTGCCTCTAGAGCACAGGACAGCAAAGCGTAAATGTGATATGAGCCCGTCTCTCCCATCCCACTTCTTTCCTCTTTCCCATGCCTCAGTTGCCATGTTGTCCCAGTCCTTCCCAATCATAATGGGAAGGGCACTGGTTTCATATAATTATGTCCAATGTTCTTCTGTGTGTCATACTTTCTGCATAGAGGCTTTTTGTTAGATTAAGCCATATGAATTAAATTTCATAGGAAATAATGGGAATTCCCCATACTGAAAATATCTGCTTAAAGTTCCCTTATGTAGTTTCTTATACTTGATTTTTTTTTAACCCTCTACTTGCTTCTGATGGTTTAAAGAAATCTTTTTTTTTCTTCTTTTTTTTATTTATTTTCATTCTTGATGGTCCTTAGAATATTTACTCAATACGAAGAAGACGGGTGACTTTTCAAAGTAAGTATTCTGTTTCTGCTTGGGCTAATAGGACAAACTAGGTTGCAGAAAGAAAATGTTGCCAGTAAGCAGACCAGTCCAGCACATACTTTGACTTTCGTTTTTAATGTCAGGTTAATAGGACACATTGCAAAAAGAAGTAACTAAATCCTGCTACTTACCGTTAGTTAGTAAGCAAAAATGAATGTAACTGTCAGTTCATTGCATTAGGAAGCATGCAAACTTTAGCTGTGGGTTGTCTCATAAGTGGAAAAATGATTCATTGTCAGTCATGTTTGGATAAGTGGGGTTTTGCATATTTTACATTTTCCAGGGGGCTGGTTGATGTAGCTCTCTGCTCTCTGTTTCTATTGTCTGCTTTATGTTTAACAGCATGGTTTTTACTCTTGTGCAGCTTTGTTGCATTTTGGAGGCCAGAAGGTGCAGGGAACCACAGTGCACTGGAAGATGATGTCCATGCAGAGGAAAATGTTTATATAGTGCACTAAGGACTATATGCATGCTTGCCTTGGTCAGCGCTGAGAAATCAAATGGCTTGAACAATGTTAGCTGCTCCCTCTGCTCAGCAGCTAAATGTGACTGGACTATTGAAGCATTATTCACATCATTCTGGTAAAACAAATAAAAGCTACACTTGTAATTAAACTTTTTTATCAGCCTGTTCCAGAAACAGAAACCCTACTGGCTTGTATGGAAATTTCCAGAATCTACTTATCAAACTCTAAAGAAAGTTACCATTATATTTATTATCTGCTTCAACTTCTCTTTTCCTTTTTGGAAAAAAAAAAAAAGAAGGAAATGCCAGAATAGCAATTTCATCACAAAAGGAAAACCACAATTATACACTGTGAAGACAAAACTTTTTTTTTTAATCTGTCAGTTAAAAAAAGAGTCCATGCCCTCAGAGGGCAGAAGCAAAAGCTACACGAGTCCATGCCATCAGAGGGTAGAAGCAATTGGATAGCTGCCATGACAAAGATCACACATAATAAAACTTGATGTATTAGTATTTCAATACACATTTCGTTGAATTTGCATTGAAGTCATATATCCCCAGTCCTGGTAACAGCTCAATAGCGCAATATACATCCATCCACAATTAAATCTGGAGGAGCTATTGAACCCCCCTCATGGGCTCTCCTCAGAGCCTACAGGATCAGTATTTCCATGTGCAGAATACTCACAGCTTCTTTTTGGAGAACTGTGACTGAATGTGTTTTCCTCTGCAATATACATCACTTTTTCTGTGTCTTTTCTTTTCACCTTGGATATACAGCATAATGCATACAAATACATGCAGGCAGCAGCACCCTGTGCTTTTTCATTACTTCTATTCATTTAGGTGGATCTTGGAACAGCTATTTCCTAATGAGCCCTAGACAGGAGCAGGTGGCACTTGGAACCCTGTTAGCCTATTAAGAGGTCATTCAGCTGCACATAAGCTGCCATCACATTGAGTGTGGTAAGGTTAATGAGCTGCAAACTGATTTGTTTGAGACAGCTCTCTCTGTTCACCTTCTGCCTGCAAGAAGCCACTAGATAGCAGCACAGGAGCAGAAAGCAAGCCACATTTTCCTGGTTCTTCTCAGCACACTTGGATTTTGGGTGGCCTTTTTCAATGCACTCTGCTGCATTTAGCCCAGTCTTGCGAAGTAACAAAGCTGGTATGATGCTGCTTTCATCCTCTTCCTTCCCTGGACACCTGCAGCACAGTGACTGGCTCCGTTTGGACAAGCTCCATGAAAAATGATAGCTGGATACTGACACAGATTTGTGCCCCAGGTGGGATTCAGCTGCTCCCTGCACTGGCATAAGCTGGGCATTGGCTCACGGCCACTGATTGATGGTGGGTGATGGGAAACAGAGTTGTAGTTAGGATCATTGCAGGGAAAATGTCGGCAGGATATTGGATGTATCAGGTTTCGTTAGTTCTCTTCTTGTCAGACCAGCTGGGGCTGTATGTACTTGGCATTGTATGAACTGTACCTGGTAGAATACAGCAAATTAGATATTTTACTGACTGCTGGTTAACCTGTCTTATATTGTTGACAAAAGGATGCTGCTGAACTGTTGAGTATGTCCCCACTGGCTGCTGTTTATGCTGCTCTGATACATGTGAGGATACAGAGCAGCATTGCATCATCACTTTCATTCAGAATAAACTCTGAATAGTTATTCGAGCTTCACGCTGCTTGATCTGCTACTAAGTTGGCTACAGCAGCATCAGTTGGCTGGTGAATGAAAGGCATCCTGACTTTGCCTGAGCCTAATCTACTGGGAGACTACTTCATGCCACATAATGTAGTGGTGGTGTGCTGGGTGAGGAAGTTAATGAGGTGGCCTCCCATGCTGATGTACTACTGAGTCCAACAGGTCTGCAATGACAAGAGTCCTTCTCTGATGCCATGTGTGTGGGATGCTGAGCAACTACTCCCTCTCCAACCTTCCTGTGCTACTCAAGATTTTGGAGACCTGTTTACAGTACCCCATAGCTTATCTTTTTTTTTTCCAGACTGACTCATCTTGGACTACCAATCTGATTCTCATGTGGAACTTCTTCCCATGCATTTCACCATTCTTTTTGCCCTTCTTGGAATGCTTTCTGAATCTTAAAATATGCTCTTGAGGGGACTATAATTACACATAGAATCCAAGGTAGATTTGCACAGTGAGGTAATGCTGTCTCCTGCTTTGTTTTTTATGGCTTTACTAATAACCGCTAGAATTTGATTTGCTTTTTTTACCCCAAATGCTACCAAGCAGAGGGGCGACATCTTTATGAGCTTGACTACTCATGGTAAGCCCAAAATCTCATTCCTGAGGGGATAATGCCTGGTTAAAGCCCATCATTTTATCTTTTGAACTTGGAATATCTCTCCTGTTTGCACCATGCTATGTTTATTTGCACAAAATCTTGTCTCTCTGCAGCTCTCCATTCTTGACCCCAGTGCCCTGAGTTACTTCCGCTTTATTACTCATCTTTCCTAGGGAAGAACTTCCAGAGAACTTCTTTATTGATTTGTTGGTAAAAATGAACAAGTAAAATGTATTTCTTGGAGATGGTGTTGCAGATCTTTGGGAAGGATGTTGTTTAGCAGAGAAAGCATTTGTGAGAGTGCCTCCAAGGCTGTCTTTGCAAATAGAAAATATGAAGCTGGGGAAAGAAAGAGAGGGGTCTTCAAGCAAAAAGAACGATATGGGGAAATGAAGGATTAAGAGAATATAAGTGAAGACAAAGTCAGGTGGAGACAGAGCCAAATGTTTAGGAATGTAAGAGCACAAAGCTTGTTCTTGCTGCTCAGCCCTGCAGAATAGTAGCGGGGCTTAAGGCGAAACGAATAGTATATTGAAATCTCTGATAGTAGTTCCACACAGAGTGTCTTGAAAGAGGAGAGTAGGACAGAATGGGGTAGGATAGAATAGTTCAGTTGGAAGAGACCTACCACTATCATTGAGTCCAACTGCCTGACCACTGGGCTGACCAGAAGTTAGAGCATCTTATTAAGGTCATTCATTGTCCAAATGACTCTCAAACACCAACAGGCTTGGGGCATTGACCATCTCCCTAGTAAACCTCTTCCAGTGTCTGACCACCCTCTTGGAAAAGGAATGTTTCCCAATGTCCAGTCTAAACCTTCCCTGGTGCAGCCTTGAACCATTCCCATGCATCATATCACTGGATTGAGGAAGAAGAGCTCAGCACTTCCCTCTCTACTTCCCCGTCTCAGGAAGCTGTAGAGCACAATAAGGTCACCCCTTAGCCTTCCAGCCCTTCCGCCTGCTTTGTTGGCCTCCTCTGGAGTCATTCCACTACCTTAACATCCTTCTTAAGCTGTGGGGCCCAGAACTGCACACAGTACACAAAATGAGACCACACCAGTGCTGAATACAGCAGAATTGCCTCTTTTGACCGGATTCTACGCGCAAGCATAGGAAAGAAGCAGTTGCAGTACATAAAATCTGGAAATGGAGAAATGAGACTTCAGTGGGGCTCACTCAGCATCTCTGGAAAGTGTATGATCTAGTTTTTTCTCCTTCCACTTGCTGCCCTGGATCCTCCATCAGCTAAAATGTCCCATTTTGTGTTGTTCCACTGGATAATGATACAGAGCTTTATAGGTGAGTCTTCACTGGCTTTTTGTGTGCTTGCTCAGAAAACAAGAACTTTGCAACATTAAAAGCAGCAACACGTGTTTTGTGAAAATGAAGCAGTGAAATGGGGTGTAACTGTATACAGAACTTCAAATGTTTTATGAACTTTCTGGGTTAATACTGATGGATATTTCTTTTTGCTTGGATATTTTTTACTTTTAAAGCATGTATGTGGTTTCTCTGTGTATGGGTTTCGTTAGCTTCACTGTCCCTCCAAATGGTCTGATTTCTTTACTACTGTTAAATGTGTACTGCTGGCTTCGCTTCTTCATCTGTCTGTCCACCCGACTGTACAAGCCAAAAGTAATGAATTGAAATATTGGCAGAGTAATGAATGAATATGATAAAGAAATGATTTTCTGAAACTTAGAGGGTTGTCTGCTGCTATGATTTGAGGATGGGAAAGAATGGCTGGAGCTTCCTCTCCTTTTACTTCCAAATGTTCAGTTCACACATCAAAGATCTGGATGCTAAAAGATAAAGAAGTCAAGAAAGGGTAACGTAGGAGAATGGGTCTTGCAAGTGTGGTGAGTATCAGCTTTGTTTCTGCATGTGTTTAGGCATCAGCAGTCGAGTTTCAAAACTACCTGAGGTGGCTCAGGAATGTGGGTTCAGCCACTTTCAGAGGGACATGAGCTCCTAATGGAAGTTGTGCTTTCAAATCAATCAGGCATTTCAGGATATTCTGTCTCAGATGACTAAATATTGTCTAACCTCTGCCAGGATGAAATATTCTATATAACATCTACAGCAAATGTTACGTTCTTAAATTAACCTGAAAAGCAGTGTGAAAGATCAGTCAGTGGTGGGATACACTGAGGGGCAAGAGGTGATCTATGCCCCTTTTGAGGCAAAACAACACAACCTCCATGGTGTCTGCTGTACAAGTGGAGCTTCTCTTTCCTTGCCTTATCTTCAGCCTCAAAATAAACTGGAGCCTCCACTGGGTCTTATTTTAAAAAGCTTTCTTATACACACAGCTACTGAAGGATGAGAAAGGCTTTTAGTAACCTTCTCTTTAACTGAGCTCAGTACTGAAAATAGGTAGGCTTGAGACCCAGTGGGCATTTAAATGCTTCTTTCCTGTTTATCAGTCATTTTCTCTGCAATTTCATCAGAACAGAAACTTCGAGAAGAAACAAAAAATTAGGATTGCTGGGGAAAAGATGCTGAGTATCCTGTATAGAGAAGGAAAAATATTCCAGAAACAGATCAAGAAAATAAACTCTTTTCCAACCAGCTGTGTTGGCTGGAGGATGTATTTCTTTGTCCATCCAATAACCAGTCTGTGGGGACAACGACAACAGCAACTATTTGAGTTACTGCTTAATAACAATTGCCACTGAGGGTTGGTTCAAGAGAGACTATATGTAAATATATCTGTATGAACTAAACAATTATGTAAATATATCTGTATGAACTGAACAATTATGTAAACATATCTGTATGAACTGAACAATTAGGAATGCCCCTTTCTATTTTGAAAGATGATTTTTAAACATCTCGAGTCCATTTCTCTCTCACATGGATTAAGGACTTACAGTGGCAAACCTCACTGCCTTCAGTGGGACTACCCAGGCATAGCTGACACTCAGGTTCAAATCTGGATGCCTGGAAGAGTCACTGCCATAGACAAGGGTAGGATTCCTCTCACAGTAAGATGAGGGTGTTCCAATATAACAGCCTCCAGAACCTGTTAATGTCAAAAATGTGTTCATTCAGTTCTATTTACTATTACTTTTGGAAAATGTGTTGGTGGAAGAGGCTGCAACTGAAAATGAAGTTGGTTAGTCCTTGCAGAGGCTCATACTATTGAATCAAGGCTGTTGCAGTATTGAAGCTTTCCTTAGCAGCCTGCAGTGCAGGCAGATGTGAGGCACATTAGCTTCACATAAATCAAAAGAGGATTTGAAACTGCAAACCCCATAACTTTCCAGAACCAACACTGGTGGGAAACTGTACTGGAGACTCCCTGGTGCCTTGTGTCTGCCCTCTTCTTCTTTTTATGTATTTATTTATTTAGTCAGTTTAGGGCTCTGCTTCTTTTGAAGAGAAGGAAATCTTCATTTGTTAAAGGGTTACTTAACGAAGCTGCTTTGATGCTGTGCTGGACTGGGATGAAATAAGAATAGGAGATTAACCCATTTCTCTTCAAGCAGCAGTGACCTTAACTCCAGGAGCAGTTCAAGTTGGTCTTGGTTTTGCAGCATCTTTGTTGGGGTGACTTGATGCTCAGTGACTAAACCTCTGCTCCCTAAGGGGCACTTTCAAGGTCAACTGGATGAACTGTTTTGTTTTATCATCACAGAAAGAGGCTGTTTTGTCTGTTTGTTTTGTTGTAACAAGGCAAATGAACCTACCCTTTCCAAGGACTAAAACAAGCAGCCATCTTTCAAAGCCTTATCCTGTATTCAGGAATTCAAGTTTTTGGCACATCCTACCTTCATTTCACTGCAACAGCTTCTGCCCTTCACACCATATTGCATGTTGTTTTGTCTGCCTCTAGTTTTTTAGCATTTGGAGTTGTGGAAACCTGAATGAGTTGGCTTATCTTGCCAATGGGATATGCAATAATGAAGCTGAAATGTCATCCCAATAACAAGTCATGAGGCAGCCTGCCACAGACTAAAACCTCACCTGGGGAATAGTCCATTAAAGACAAAACAAAAGAGACATGGACACAGTTGGTAGCATCTGTTTGCTATCTGGGAGTCTTGCCAAAAAGGAAAGGCATTCAAACAGCTGGCAAAATAGAAATGTTTGGCAAACCAGGGCCAAAGCTAGTGATAACAGCAGCGACTGCTGTAAGTCCTCTTTGGGGTAAGTAAGCTGGCCATGAGACATCAGGTCTGAAGGATGATCCTCTTGCTGCAGCAGACTAGCTCTGGATGCTCCCCAGGTCCCTCAGTTCCTGCTCCACTGTATGTAAATGATAACATGGGGAAAAAGGCAACAAGGCACAAGGATCAACACAGACTTGATGAATGCAAACCAGAAAATATGTTCCTGTATGGGAGCCTTTTTTTGCATAGTGCCTTTTATGAAGAAGAAATCCTTTTTAGGGCAATCTGGGAGCTACATAGACAGTTAAGAGGGATCAATATGTACCAAAGGTTCAAAATAGATGCTAAGGTGGATATTGGCTCTAAACACCAAGTAAAGCTGGTCATTAAGAGTAGCAGCATGAGGAAAACGTGAATGTGCCCTTTTTAACGTCAGTATAATGCTAGCAGTTAAAGCTTCTACGTACACAGTACTCTGCAATGTAAGTGGGCTCAACTTGTCTGCAAGTTGACAGGGCTTGCTCAGAAACAGAAAAAGCAGTGTGCTTTCTGAGGACAGGTTCCCATAGACAGATCCTGCTCTTCTGCCAGCTTAATTAAGTCCTAATTTCACACGTGAGGAAGTCTTTTGGACCCTGCTATTGAGACTGTCAGTGAAAGGCAACTGTGACAGCATTTCTCTTTTGAAGGAGATGATGGTGGTCTGAGGCAACCAGATGCATTTCACACCAGGTTGCTGAACAACTTTCAAACAATCTCTTAGGAGAGGAGCAGAGTTCCAAGTTCCATTTGCACAAGTCTAGGCTGCACTTGGGCTGCCAGTGACAGACCTCAGCTTTGCTCACCATGTCTGATGTGAGTGATGTGTTTTGTGAGCTCTCCAGCAGCAAGCCAGTGTCCGTGAGCTCCTGGCTGTGGCCTCTGGTGCCCCTACGCATTAGCTGCCACAGGCAACAGGGGAAGGCTTGGGGGATCAGGAACCGTGGCCTACCTGCAGGCAGGGGTGTTCCTTTTCCTGCCTTATGGTTTTGCATAGTTAACACTCCTCTTTCCTTGTTCTTCCTTGACAGTGCATGCCACATCTGAAGCTGTCATTAGAGGAGTAACAGGGCAATCCGTTAAGTTGCCTTGCTTCTACAAGGTGGCACGACACAAGGACATCTCCGATATGTGCTGGGGCAGAGGTCCATGCCCGAATTCAAAGTGCAATAACAAAGTTTTGCACACCACTAGAAATCGGGTGACGTACAGGATATCCCAGCGATACAGTCTCCGGGGCTATATTTCCTATGGAGACGTGTCTCTCACGATTGCAGATGTGCAGTCAGAAGATGCAGGTACATACTGCTGCCGCGTGGAGATCCCGGGTTGGTTCAATGACATCAAACAGAACATACAGCTGGAGGTGGACAGAGGTGAGTCTGGGGACCTTTGTGATACAGCCAGCAGAGAGGAACCTCTCACTGAATAGGAGTTTAAAACTGGAAATTGTGTTATGTGTGCTTTTTTTGTTTGCTTGTGGTGGCAAAAAGTGGTTTTCCTAAATTCTATGGTTTCCACGGAAGGTCTGGAATTGTCAATTTCAATCACACTCAATGAGCAGTTTTGATGAGAAATTAATAACTTTTACCTTTTTTGTGTTGTTTTTTTTCCCTTTCAAATGAAATATTTGATTTCTCATTGTGTAGCTGTATTTCAAAATATTTTGCAAAATCATAAAGTTTGCAAGTTCTTGGGTTCTATCACACAAGGTTCTGGCCCTTCCTTTTGTGAGACGGTCAAGGAGGAGACCTATCAAAAAAAAAAAGGGGTAAAGCTGGGAATTTCTCTGACTGAGGCATGCTTTCTGTTAAGTAAAAATCCTTTTAAATAGTGACTCACCCACCTTTATTCTCAGTATCTTAGCTGCTAATTTTCAGTCATTTCTGGGTTGACTTTCACAGGGTTGTCAATGCTCTGATCCAGCTTTCCTCTTGGCTATGTTTTTTCCGTACAGCCCCACCAGTGATAACAACCACCATGAGAAAGGTTCCTGTTTCTCCCACAGTTTTTAGGGAAGCAACATCTGCTCTTCCAGCAACTTCTGATGATCAAACCACAGCAGAGACCCCGGTCCTCCTGACAACCACCGTCCCTGAAGCGACAACTGCAACCACTGGTTTTCCAGCAGTGACTACACCAGAGACCATTGCTCCCCTAACATTTGCTGTGACAGCAGATATGGTGACAACCAGTGCTCTCCCAGATTTTTCAACTAGATTCGAAGAAGTTGATGTGACAACTGAATATGACTGTGTGTTCTGCTCTGAAGGGTCTGTCACTCTTACCGTCAGTATGAATGGTAACCACTACCAATCCTTTCTTATTTTCTGTGTAGATGGTCTATGTAAGCCTGACTCTGGCATTATAGAAACGCTCCAGATACTTATATTTGTATCTGGGATGTTTTCTCCAAGATGCCTATAGGTATATTTCAGTAGGTTTAAGGAAACACAGGTCAAATGTTGTGGATGATGCCACACTGGGGTGAATAGCCACGATAACCAAGGGTTAGGCTTGCATTGAAAGGAGTTTCAACAGGGTGAAGAAATAATGTGACAGAAACCTCATGAATGAAGATTTTTCATGAACAGAAATAAACACAAAGTCCTGCACCTGGGATGGAGTAAGACAGCTTCACTCAACTATGCGCTGATTTTTTTCTTGATTTGGGAAAGACAATTGAAAATGGTCTGCTGAAAAGGTTAGTTTAGAGCATGTTCTGCTTGAGCGATAACGTCAGTGAGACTTCAAAGCATGCTTAAAATTGAGTACTTACATTGTCATCCCATATGAAGCCTGCTGTTATTATTAATACTTAGTTAATCAGTCACATGTTTATCATCCTAACCATTCTTTGGTTGCAACTTTATCCATATCAGTGACTTCTTTCCACAGATTGATGTCTGCTCGCAAGGCTGTTTTTGTACATGCTTTGGGTCTTCTATCACTTGAAGTTCTTTCAGACCTGAACCTCTAAGGGCAGCTTTTCTGTACCACCTCTTGTTTTCCAGCCATAAGAACTCATCACAGTTAAACTTGTCAAGAATTAACTACATCCACAGCTAAACAGTTAAAACATTTAACCACTGGCCATGCTAGTAAAGTACATCAGTTACCTGGGTACCATCAGCTGCAGATATGAAAACTGAGGTGCAGAATTTCACCAGTGCAGATGCAGAACTTTGCAAGCAATTGTGAATGCCATATGAAGACCTTCCTAATCAGTGATCTTTATAAGCATTATACTTTTATAAGCATTATACTTTTATAAGCATTATATTTTACTTTGTTTCAGTGACTACCGATTTCCCAAGCACGCTTCTGACTGCAGAGGGAACTAAAAGCACTAACACTTCTCTCATGGTGGAAGAGGTGCCAACTGCAGGTGAGTGGAATAATGGGCACAAGTTCAGAAGTTGCATGTTCAGAGAAATGAAGAGGACATCATAAGAAAAAGTATTGACTGTTCTTAAGAGTGTACCAAACACATACTGAGAGCTGCTAATTGCATCTGGAAGTAAGAAGTATCTGGGATCCACACAGAAATTGTTTGAAATCAGGATGTAACAACAGGAAAACATGTTTTTAAGCCTCCAAAGGAAGTAGATTTTGAGTCATTCACTACTGTCAGGTATCTCAGGTCTGAGAGAAGTTAAGAACTGGTCTTTGTCACCATTCAAGCTGCATTCTTAGATATCCGATTTGTCATCACTGTGAGCTCATTGAGCTTTCCATTTTAAATCCTCCCTAAGTGTTAAGAGCTTTGAATCTCACTGAATATATTTAGCCGATGTGGCTGCAGGTTCAGCTTTCCAGTGCTCAGCATGTGTCCTTGGTCATGATGAGAAGCAGCAGGCAATTACCACCACTATCAATCCTTCAAGAGAAAAGGAACTGGTAAACAAATTCATAACATCATCTGAGACATGAACAAACTTAGATGAAGTTTGCACTTTGTGTCTCTCAGTCAAGTATAAAAGTAGCATGGGTCAAGTTATTCAGGTGTGATAATCTGCCCACCAGATGCCCTCAAATGAAAACCTTAAACAAGGAAAGCCAAAAGTCAGGGGTGTCATATTTGGCTGTTAAGAAAGTCCCTTTAGTTTCAAATAGTGTCAAGAAACTCTTCATTCTTAAAAACATAGTATTTGGATTTTTGCAAGTCTTCTTTTGCTAGACCTTGAGACTTACAGCAGACAGAGAGTTTAGGAAACTGCTCTTTAATGCCTCTGGAGACAGCTCACAGAAGCAACTAAACTGGTCTCTTGAGCATTTGTGAGGGTTTCTCACTGCTGTCTCACTTGTCATCTTTCTGATACAGTTCTGAATAATGCCTGTATTCTACCATTGTAAGAAAGAAGTTTTGTGAAGGGTCTTACCTCTGGGATTCTGGGGGCAGCTGAAGTTGTGACTGTGGGTTAGAAACAGCCACCACAAAAGCAATAATAGCAGAAAATATACGGTGCTTATGTGAGTCGTGTACAGTCCCACCCATGCTAAAACTTGTGTCATGCTATTTCCAAGACCAAACTGTCATAATGTGTGAAAATGATGCAGCACTACTGAGCACTGCCTAGTAAGAGCCATAAGCCAAGTTAAGTACTTAGCTTCCTCTTTTTCTGTGAAATAATGTGCTAAATAGACCAACTTTAGCCTTTCTGTAATGTAAAGGAAGGCTGATTTGTTGCTGGGCTCTGTACTGATGTTAGCATAGTGTCTGGTTGAGAAAACCATGGACAAGAGAGCCCTCCACCTCCAAACACAGCTCTAGCCACATGGGTTGGTTAGCTGGGGCAATTGCTTGCTGCTGACCTGGCTCTTATTTAGTTTCTCTTCTGTCTTCACCTGCTTTCCCGGCAGCAACAAATCCACCAGTGCCAGCCGCACTGGAGACCCCAAAGAGAATCCTTGCTCCTTTAAGTGTGGAAAGTAAGCAGGAATATTTGCTCCCATCAGGCAGGCTGCAGCATCATGCCAGGAGGTTAGTTTTTGGCTTGTGGACGTGCATGTCAGAGTGAGATGTGCTCTTACTGTGTATGTGGAGGTAGTTCTGCTGAACTTTAATTCTGCTCTGAGAGAGGAAAAGAGGGATGTCATGAAACAGCTGTACTGCAAAATGCAATATTCATAAAAATCCCAATCCCTGGGATTTTTAGCACTTGCTAGGGTTTTTTTACATACATGTGTTTAGCTCTAGTGTTAATTAGCCATAGTCTATTTTCTACTCCAGTGCAGATTTCTAGCTACAGTTGCATATAAGCTACCTTGCTCTGTCCATGTCTTTGAAAAAAACAAGCATGTTGTTTGGTACATGGAGACAAATCAACTCGGCTTTCACAGGCAGCTGATCAGAGCTGAGAAATTTGGGAGAGATCAGCTCATTCAGCAAGTGCCATACTCCGAAAAGTAAAAGAAAAGAAAGATAGGTAAAACTTTATTTTTTGTTTCCTAATGGGATTATTTGTGACCATCTGATCACCCCCATCATAATGTGACATTGCAGGTGTCTCATGTGTTTTAAGTTCACTCATATATATGTGCCTTTACAAATGACTCTTCTGGTCCCTGGCACATTTTGCTCAGGTGGAGGCTGCATGGTTGTTCTCCTGTCAAGCCTTTGAAAGCACTGCTCATCACAATCTTTCTATACACTAGGGCATGACCTAAGGCATAGGAGCTTTCCCATCACAGGATGTAAGTTGAGGTTTTGATTCATTCAGCTGAGTGACTCCTCTGGTTTAAGGTGCTGCTAAACATCAGGTGCTTCCTGTGACAGATCCAGTGCTCCAAATACTTAAATATTTCAGTACTTTGTAGCGTGAGATCATGATGAGCCAAGGCCCAAGCCTAGATTAACTTTTTGTGACTTTAAACTTACTATCAAAAGTAACAGAGTAGGGTCACAGGATAACAGTAGAATGCTGCAATGAGCATTCATTTAGTTCGTCCCTATTTCAAAAGCTTAGGAATGTAGAATTTAATTACTCTTAATATCCTTAGAGAGAGGAAAAAAAAATGCATCCTCTTCATAGGGATTTCTTAAATTTGTGGTAAGCTATCAGAACATTAAGATGTTTCCTGTGGTTTTCAGTCGTAGTGCAGCTGCCAGAAACTGCAATCACACAAGTCTGACCACAAGCTGAGGCAGTTCATCCAGTTAGACTAGTACCTTGCTTACTACCTTTGCTTTCTATGAGATCTCGTCATGCTTACAGAAGTGAAAACTCCTTCAGAGCAGACAAGTTTCTACTGCCTTGCTTCATGGGCTATCCCTGGGAAGCCTCCTGTTGATGAAGGTTGACATTTCCCATTGACTGCCTGATATACCATTTGTGGTGGGGACAGATTGTTCCTTTTTTTGTTGCAATGTGCTTTATTTCCCCTACTCAGGGACAGATTTTGCCCTCCGCATTCTCTGAGAGTTCATTACTCCTTGACTAAAGAAGTGACAACCACTGTGGCCCTTACTTGTTGAGGTGATCATGCCAGTAACCATTTCAATCTCTGCTATTTTCAGGGATTTCATCAAGTTTAGAGGGCATGGCTGAGAAACATGATGATAATGGAGATAAGGTAAAACCTCCTCTAAGTTTCAAGAGTGTTGAACTTGAGGCCAGAAGGACAGCAGGACATGTTACTGATTTTCAATGTATTCATATAAAAGTGACAGTGTTTAGAGAAAGTAGCTCAAACTTCTGTTTAGAAGCTCAGGAACAACCTATTAATCTTTCCAGTGAGTAGAGCCAAATCCTGTGACCATCCCATCTACCTTGGACACTTCAGAAAAACCTCATTCCCCTGGCACCCCTGTAAGAGAGGCAGAGGAAGCATCCTCGAGATGTAACCAGGAAAAAGCCAACTTATGAGGGTTGTTGCATTTCCCTGTCTCCAGTTAAGAGGATGAGGGTGATTAAGCTCCTACTTTAGACACCTTATTAGGAAGTTCATGTTAAGTGGGATAAATCTAGGCTCAAATGCATCAGAAGATGTATTAAATATTTAACAGGTAGTTCATGTTGTTTATCATGATCAACCTGATGTGTCATCTCCATACTTTATACAGAAAAACATTGCCAGCTCTAGCCCAATGCAGATGTTTAAGAGCCACTAGGGCAACCCACTCCTGTGGGGATAGGTCTGGAATAAACTTGCTTCTAAAGCCTTTTCAGTTTTTTTTTTTTTCTCTTCTCCCTTCCAGTTTCCCATCTATGTCTTTCTCATTGCCTGCCTTGTTGTGGTGCCTGTTCTTTTCCTATTGGTGCTCTCATTGTTGCTTCGGAAACGTAAGTATCCCTAAGCACGTATTTGATTAATGTTCCTAATGCTGGCCTAGTGCAGATGTCCTTCTGTATCTCTGATTAATCTTCTGGTAAATCTGCCATGGCCTCCGTGACATCACTCTGTTCATTTTATGGGGTCTACTGTCCTTACTTCAGGACTGTGTCACCACGAAGAGACCAGGGACCATGAGCTGGCGGGGATGCAGGAGGAGGAAGACTGTGCAAAGAACCTGTTCACTCACTTGCTGCAGGTCTGGCTCATCTTGTTGGCTCTTGCTTTATATTAAAGTAGTCCCTTAGTTTCCTTGAATTGCTTTTGACAAACATTGGTGTTACTTAAACCAGAATGAAAGCCTTTATTTCCTGCTTAGCCCACAGAAATTTTGCAGCTTTCTATCTTTGCTTCTGAACTCATTTGACAGATTCATTAGAATTACAGATTTCTTTTGCCATTGTGACATTAATATTATTTTGCTTCTAGGTAAACACACAAAGAAGTTTATTATAAAAAGGTAATCCATTTTCTAATTTCCTATTAAAAGTACCAATGTAATTTTTCTTAGAGGCAGGGAGGCATTGGCCACTGATTGTAATGGGTGTAATAACAGGTTGTGGTGATGATCACCAAAGTTGTGTTACGAGCAAGCTTCAGATAACCCCAGAAAATCAAACAGTGGTTCCTGGATGCTGTTTCCATGTAGCAATGAGCAGGCATCCAGAGCACTAAAGAACTCCAGCAACTGGTACTTAACTGTTATGCAGTGACCCCAGGTTAAGGGAACACATAGTATGCTTTATTCTTTGATCAAATACCAGCGCATGCCCCTGGTGGGGTTATTTTAAAGAAATTAAGAGATAACTGTTTAGGATGATCAACCAGCAAAACGATTGCTCAAAAGGGATCAGGGATTTATGGACAGGCCTCCACGGACTGGCAATTCATACCAATACACACAGGATTCTCTGAAGCAGCAATGTGCTTTTGCCCTGTCCATAGTGATCTATGCTTCTCACTACAGCCATGGACCAGCAGAAGACCTTTAAAACATTTTCAGTGGCACTGAAGGAGAAAACAACGTTTTCCCTGTGAAGAGCTCCTACATCACCTATAGATGCCATGGAAAATGAAGAAGGTTCTGTTTCATGCTTCATTGATAGATACTTACAAGCCCCAGTCTATCCATGGGTGTAAACCAAAGGCCCAAGTTTCAGCTACAGAAATTTAAATCTTCATGCAAATTATGCCATGTTGCCTTTAAAAATTATTGCATAAAAAAGCTTCTTTGAGAGGAACACCTATGCATTATTCATAGGTGTTTCTTGCATCTGCCTTCTTACTACTACCATGTTACACAACTGAATTTGTTTTTCTCCATTTTTACTAATATTCTTCCTTGAATACAACTTATACTGCGAGGAAAAGAAGAGAGAAAAAATGATATGAAATGCTGCCTAACTTCAAATTGCCTAAAAAAGAAAAAACCAGCAAATAGAGTTCTTACTGCTTTTATGTAATCAAGAGAAAAATTAAGACACAAGAATGCTGTGACTATAAATCAAAATTGCAGATTACTTAAGGGCTACCAGTGCTGCCTGTGATTCAGCATGTTTGGATGACCCTTGGAGACTATGTTAATAAACTTTGTAATTTACTGCTAGCAATTGTATTTATTATGCTACATCCTAAGGCATTTGAACAGGAGTTAGTTATTCCCCAGATGTTGGAATTACTGGTGTGCTGTCTCAGCTCTCCAAAGAAGTACTGAACCATTTCCAGAGGTGGGAAAATGCCCAGAAGATCAACCTGCAGAGAAATTTGTCTATCCTACTCCCACAAACCCCCATACCAGTCATTTGTAAGTCCATGTCCCTTCCATCAATGTGCATAGGGGATCCCCAGTCTTTTGTTTGGAGTTGCTTTTTGGTCCTCACAAGAGTGACCTGTAAAATCCAGACGCTTTCATGATGGAGCCTGCTGGACATGCAAAACTGCACCATGCAGCCCCAGGATGCTTCACTTAGGGTTCCAGCACCCGGTCACAGGTTAGCATAGTGCTGTCTGGCTGGGTTTTGTGTGGATGAGACCAGGGTGCCCAGTGCTGATTACTTATCTTTTAGAGGTGTTGCAGTTGAGATGCATGACACAGAGCACAACCACATCTTCAATACTTGGGCATTGCTTCAGGTGCCCATGCAGTGTGGTTGAAACCACCTCTGATCCTGAGTAGCAAAGGCAAAGATTGTGTGATCTCCATGGAAAGGCTCTGGGGAGATTAAAAACAGCAGAAAAAAATAGATGAAGTGTGGCATTCACCTTCTGCTGCTTCTAGTGGGACAGAAGGGTTGTGGGGGAGAAAATAGTTCTGCAGTACTAACCTTGTCTTATACTCAGCTGGGAAAAATGGAACCTTCGAGTGGTTGTGGGGCAGATTGGCAGTGCACGGTAGAGTGAAGCCCATCATTTAACCACACTAATTGCACCATTTGTGAGGGGGCTTTTGCTTGTGTTTCAGCTCAATTGAAATTTAGGCTTTAGAAATCAGACTGAGTTGGTAACCAGCCTGGGGTCGTTAGCAAAGTGGGACTGGCCATGGCTGCTGGGGGATCATATGTGGGATATGGTGCAGAGATTTTGTGTATCACATTGGGGTCCTCACCACTGCTGTGGTAACTATGTGAATGTCATGGGAAAAAGTTCAAATCCATGACACTGTTATCTCCATTGCCTTGAGTCCACCAGTCTCTGCTATGGCATGTCTGGGCAATGACAACGTGAAGTAAGAGCATACTGTGGGGATAGCATTTGATCAGAATCAAACATTGCGTGGCAGCTCTGGACTTCCCCACTAGTCATGCTCAGGGCTGTGGTGAGACTTTTTGACTCTGCAGCATCTCCTCACAAGCCGAGAGTTAGTGGGAAGCAGGGGAGGTTCCTCTTTGGGGTCCCTCTGTGTCATGCCTGGGTTCAGCATCCTGCTGCACACCCTAGTCTGGCAGGGCTGTGGGAGCAAAAGAGGGTCCTCAGATAGAGGATGTGGCCTGAAGGCTCCAGGCTGGGTTTGCTCAGCTGAGCCCTGTGTTTATCCCATGCTAGTTAATGTGGTTGCCACTAGCCCAACATACAGCATGTGCTGAGCCTGGGGCACCCAATTCTGCTTTAGGCATGAATCCCACGTGAATATGGATGTAAATAAAAAGTGGGGGGGGGGGGAACCAAACCAGAAAAGCACCCAAAATTTTGATGTACTCCTTTAAGACAAAGCCCCTTTTAGGTTTTTTCTCCCCTCAAGTAAACCTGCTAATTAAGGCAGCAATATCTTGCATCTTCCAATTGGCAAGGCTGGGCCAATCTTTTTGCTCTTGTTAATTAGTTCTTCACTAATGACTTCTTCAGAGCAGGGCTGGCTCTTGCTTGGGAAGGTTCTAGCACATTTGCTGTGGTGCTGGCTGGACTTGAAGGCCCTGCTTTGTGGAGCTGCAAAAGGACACAAGAAGTAAGAGCCAACAAAGTGAGTTTGATCTGCTCAGCCATGTGGAAATGCAGCCCAGAAATGCTGTAGGGGATCTGTAAGTGTAACTTATGCTGCTGAGTATTTATTTGTCTTTTTATCTACCCCAATTACTGAGACTGAGGTTTGGGTTTAGAGTGGCAATTGGAAGCAAGGACTCTGGGAGGGTTATATTTAAATGAAAATGGAATGGAGTGATTTCTGCAGAGCTGACCCTGGCTGTCAGTGTGCTCAGTGAAAGGTGAAAGGAAGCCTTTTAAAATGTAGCTGGAGGAAAAAGAAACGATGTTTTCCAAAAGCAGCTGAAGTCTCAGAATTGAGTTTCTGGGTCTAGTGAAGAAAGACTTAATGAAAGCAGCAGGTTTTTAGAAAGAAAAGGCTGTCAGAGACTATGTCATTGGCATCTGGAAGATCTGGTCTTTATTTTTAGGACTTTTACCTTGGAAGGCAAAGCAGCAGTGCATTTGAGTAAAGGTAAAGCACTGTAGCCAAGAAAACCCTCGTTAAAACAATACACAGGGTATAAACTGCAAAGGCCTACTGGGGCCAGTGTTTCAGACTGGGAAAACTGTGACCAAAGCAACCTGGCCCCTGATAGGGCTGTGAGGTTCGTGCTGCCAAGCTGTGGGGTGCAGGTTTCCTCAAGAGCCCCTTTGCTGCAACTTGTTGCTTGTTGAGCTCACTGAAGCAGGTCTCCCTGCAAAGTCTCCCCATGTACATGTCCTTCACCCTGCCCTCCCACACCTCTTAGAAACTGCCAACAAGCAAAGCCATTTCCTTTATAACTGCTGTGCGTGTCCCCAAAGCTCCGGTCCCCCCAGGCCTTGCCTCCTGCCACCTCTCAAACTGCCAACACCAAGACCTGAAATCACCCAGGTTTAATGCCTCTCCCCAGTGCTCTGAGCTGCTGAAGTTATTGCGGTGTTTACGGGGCTGTGCTGGAAGCCTGTGGCTAGAGCAAAGCAGGTTTTAATTTGCTCGGTCCATGTCAAGCCTAACTGGTGTTCTACCTGGGAAGTCTGGCTCTGCTCCATGGAGAGAGGTGGTTAATTAATGAAGGATTTAGGTTTTGGTCCAAGTAATAATTTTTGCTGGACCCCAGTACTTTGTGGACAATTGTTTGTATCAAAATGAGTGATTAAAAACGGGTAAAGGAGGTCTGACGTGAAGAGATAATGACTGAACTACCCGATTAGTATGGAAGAGGTGCAGAAAAGCAATTAAAAAGGGAGATCTGGATATTTTGGGACTGGGTAATGAGAAAACAGGAGGAAAAGAGAAAGAAAAAAGTGAGAAAGAAAAAGGCAAGCACTGAGTTAGGAATACAAATCTCTTAAAGAGAAACCAGAGGAATAAATTAAATATTGTTTTGAGATTAATGAGACATCTCTTAATAAGCTTTATTGGAGCTCCCTGCTCTGATAGTCCCTTTCCATCTCAGCAGCACATTTCATTATGTTTCCAGGTTTGTTTCTTAGCGTTAATGGGCTTTTCTAGGCATTTTTTAAGGTTAATATAAATAAATCTCTGGGTTCCGAAGGTGGAATCTCATTGGAGCTTAAGAAAGAGCAAGCAGAAGGGAAGAATGTGGCTGAGTATGTAGGAAATTAGAAATAAGAATAAATAGCATCATGGGACTTGGGGAAAGAACAGAGATAACCGCACAGTGTGAGATGAATGCATGAAAAAGTGGAAAATTCTAGCCTGGTACAGGGGAAATGGGACGTGCTGCTGCAGACGTGACAGCAGAGGGCAAAATTGAGCCGCAGAGACGGAGCAAGAGAAACGGCTGGAGAGGATAGAAGAGGCAGAGAAACGGCTGGAGAGGATAGAAGAGGCTGCAGAGGTGTTGGAGGTTTTCTGCACCAAGCAGAAGAAATGAATCCATCCTTTAGGCACGATCTTAGCCGGGAGATCAGCTCACGGCTCACCCCAAGGCACGCTTTCAGCACGCTTGGCATTTGCTCTGGCTTATGTGCCCTCTAGGAACACTATTTCCTGGAAGTCACAGACATATCCTGGTTTTCCTGTGCTCCTGAGGCCGTGGTGGCCATGCACTCCTTGGTTTCCTCCTCCCACTGATTTCTAACCGCAGCTGGGAGCAGCATGGCTTGGTTTCTCTTGCTGATTTAAAACATAAACCCTAAGACACAGCACCTCTGCAATCACTGCATCAGCAGTGACCTGGCAAAAGAAATGTCAGCCTCTAGCCATCCCATAGCTCATCTCTGCATCCTTTGCTTCCTGCTATCAAGCTCATGAGACAGGCTGTTGGTCTTGGCAAAGTTGAGACAGGAGGCCACAAAGACACTGGATGCAAGCTAGTTAGTGCGAAAACCATTGGAAGGACTGGGGAGGAGGGTGCTGGGGAATGATCTCTGGTGTGAGCTCATTGGCTTTCTTTAGTCTTTCAAGCATGAGACTTCTCCAAGAAGGAAAGTCTGCACTTCCCAAAATGTTTTTTGTTTGCTTGGGCTTTTTTGTTTGCTTTGTTTTTTGTTGTTTTTTTTTTTTCTCCAAGAAGGAAAGAAGCTGTTCATTCTATTTAAAACAAGAGATCTTTTTCTTTTTTAATATCTAGAATAAAGGAGAAGGTTGGGTGTGAGGTTTTTGGTTGTTTGGGTTTGATGTTTTTCTTGTGGTGTTTTTGTTTTTCTAGGTTTTTGTGGGTTTGGAGAATTTTTTTGTTACTACCTAGGAAAAGAGGGGCAGGGTAGGTAATCCAAACCAGGGAGTAAGGCCTGTGTATAGTTATGTTCTTCTAAACCAAGAAGTACTAAGTCCTGTCTCTCCTCTCTCGTATCCTAGTGCATGCTCTGTAGTTCTGCTGATGTTAGTGAACCTTGAATCCTTGAAGGCAACCTTTTTTTCATGCTTAGATGTAAATCTAATGAAGATTTATGTCTTCAGAGTTGTTCTCAAGCACTAGAGCCCGTGTCATTCTTAACTAAGCTATCCAGTAGTTAATAAACATTACACAATCATCTGCATATTTAATGCAGGATGGAGATTTTTATAGAGAAATCTATAGCTTTTAATCCAGCGATGAATCATTTATGGGATTTTGGATTATTCACTGAATCAAGTTGTCTCTATCACCAAGTGAGACCCCCCCCTTTCTCCCCCTGACATGGTGTGCGTCACAGACC